ACCTAGGTGTGGCCTTAAAAGGACAGACTCACTCCCTGAGTCATAAATGCATCAACCCAATCTTCCCTTTCCCAACCCCCATACCATAAGACAGCTTACAGCTTTCCTGGCAGTTACAGGATTTTGCAGAATTTAGATCCTTAGGTATGTAGTCCCTGAACAGACACCTTTTTATGCTCCTCCTAATATTACTATCTGGGTCTTAGATAATGCATGGCCACCCATTTCTCTCTCTGTAGTTGGAGGACTCTTGAAATTGTCTAGGGAACAGCATTTCACAGTGGTTCTCCTGGCCAATGCCCATCCTAATGCCTGTGTTCTTGCTTTCCTATTCTTAAGCTTACTCCCTTGTATCATACTGCATTTCTGCCATTGTTAATCAAAAATTTAACCAGTTGTACCTCCAGGGATACCAACCTCTCCAAAACGCCAGGATAGTTGGCTGATGCCCACCATGCGGAGGTCCGAGGATTGGCTCGAGACTCTTTATGACCTACAAGGGACCTTCATCAACTTCAGGGAAGAGGAAATCTTCATTTTCAGAGCCTGGGTGTACGCGATCATGAGGCTCAGCACCCCAACATTGTTTGCCAACTAACCCTCCCTTCCCTTACGCTGCCCCTTGCCAGCTTGAAGAAGCCAGAGCGAACACAACACCCCCCTTCCTTAACAAACAAAAAAAGGAGGAATGTTGGCAATAATGGCGCTGATAGGTTTCAGTTCTTACTGCACCCTTAAGCTTCTGTTTCCCAGGGTCACGGTCCTGCCTCAAGTCTAGCTTGAATTCTCCTTCTTCCCCAACCTCCAATCAGCATGAACCACAAGATCCTAACCAATCGGATCATGCTGAATCTCACTGAGGGGTATTTAAGCCCCTGCCCTTCCTGCTTCTCTCTCTCTCTTGGCTCTCTCCCTCTCCCACCCGGCAATAAAGAATCTCTTGGCCAGATCACTCCTCTCCACGTGGTCATTTTTGGGGCCTACATGCCCAACAAAAAGTAAAATATGAAAAGCCAGAGCAGCTAGCCACCTCCTCCCATCTCCTTTCAGATTAATGAAATTTTAAAAAACAAGATATCTTATACGTATAACAAAGGTAGTAGCATTTGGAAAAAATAAGCACCCTGCAGAAAATGACAGATTATAAACTCTAACATACTTTTGTCTCCAGCCCAGACTTTTTTGGTGCTGCAGACCTATAAATCCAAAGGTTTACACTTCCCCTTGAAGTCATAAAAAAATCTTAAGCTCAACATGTTCTAGTTGAAATCACTATTTTCTCCTAAACCTGGCTCTTTTCCAGTGTTCCCATATCTCAGCGATGGCATTAGCATCCATCCACTGGGCCCACGAGAAATCCTGAGCCATCTCTCTCTCTTTTTTTTTTTTTTCTGTGCTGGCATTTGAACTTGGGGCCTTCACCTTGAGTCACTCCACCAGCCCTATTTTTGTGATGGGTTTTTTTCAAAATAGAGTCTCAAAACTATTTGCCCAGGCTGGCTTTGAACCTCAATCCTCCTGATCTCTGTCTCCTGAGGAGCTAGGATTACAGTAGTGAGCTACCTGTGCCCGACTCTGAGCCATCTCTGATTCATCTCTTTCTTTCAATCCCTATCTCACCCTATGGTATCTAAATCTATCATCAAAACCTCCCATTTTACTTTCTAAAGTGTTCTGTTTCCCTTATTTGTCTCCATCTCCTCACTCCTATTCAAATTCACTTAACTGCATCCAATAGCACCCATCACTCATAGATCCTAACTGGCCATGGTTGTGTTCCTGCACTGCATCTGTTGTGATTTAAAAAACAAAACACAAAACACATATCTGATCATGTCAAGTTCCCTCCCATCCTTTGCTCTTAAGGATTAAATTTTTCAATATGGCAAATTTCTCCAGCTTCATACTGCTGAAATTTCTCCTTGCAGTCTATGCTTGGGTCACAATGGCCTCCTTTCAGTCTCTTAGGCTTGAAATGTTCCCTCCTGACAACAGGCCTTTACATATTGTTTCCCTCTCTGCTATTAGTTTCTCATCCTCCATATCTCCATTTGCATGTGACTTCCTCAAGGAAGCTTTCACCAACTCTTCTGACCAATGAATGGCTTTCCTGTAAGCCCTCATAGCACTTAAGTAAATTGAATTTATTTGTTGAATTAGACCATTTAGGATTCCATTGGCTAGGGCAGTTTGTTTCCTCTCTCAAAGTATTCTCTGCTGATCTTTGGATTTCGCTTCCTGAGAAGTAGCCCTGAGGACTGGAGGCATAGCTCAAGCAGTAGAGCATCTGCTTTGCAAGTGTGAAGCTCTGAGTTCAAACTCCAGTTCTACAAAAAAAAAAAAAAAAAGAATGTCATGTCCAAACTTGTTTAGCCAGGTTCTGGTGGCTCATGCCTGTAATTCTAACTACTCAGGAGGTGGAGATCAGTCAGGCAAATACTTCGAGAGACCCTATCTTAAAAACACCCTTTGCAAAAAGGGGGTGGTGGTGTGGCTCAAGGTGTGGGCCCTGAGTTCAAACCCCAGTACGGTGGTGGGGGGGAAGGTGGTCCTAAAACAATTTTAGGCTTAGTAGGGCATAATTCTTACCATTTGAACTCTGAAAGCAGCACCTTTCCTACACCCTCCAGTGGCTGCTGTGTTCTTGTATCTGAACATTAGCCCCTACCATAGTGCTTATAAATCCTGTACTTTTTTCTCTGAAAGCTTTCTCCTCTTGTCAGATGCTTTAGGACAGCTGTTTTATTCATCTGTCTCCTTAGTACTTAACATAGGGCCTTTCCATAAATGCTTGGAATCACACTGTAGCCTGTAATCTGGCCATATAGTTGATTTCTCTGCTTGTAATGTCTTTCCTTCACTACTTGTTTGACAAACTCTTGCCTCTTTTTCTTACTTACATTTCTTTTTTTTTTTGTGGAGATGAGCTTTGAACCCAGACCCTTGCCCATGCTAGGAAAGTGCATTACTACTGAGCTATAGCCTCAGCCAACTCTTACCTCTTGATAGACAAAAAGAGGCAGTAGTACAGTGCTTCCTTTACCAATGTGCACAATCTTTCTTGCAGTTTTCTCATTTGAAAAATGATACCTTAAAAGGTTGTTGGAAGATTAGGAGAGTTAATGCTGCTGTTCCACTCCTGGCCAGGTCTCCTTTTCCTACAGCAGTTCCCTAAGGAATTTGTGTCTCAGGATTAGGTTTTTGGAATCTTTTGCATCCACCTAGTTCTTCTCAGTCCCCCAGTGTTCTGTTTTGTTTTTTTTTCTCAGCTCCCCCAGTGTTTTGTTTTTTTCCCTTTTAACCATAGGCCTTGATGGCTTAAAAACAAACAAAAAACCCAAAATACCAGAGCAAAACATTATTAGCAGGTTTCATGTTCTCTTAAGCAGATATTCCTAAGGTGAGATGTGTCACATAGCTGAATGGCATTTTAATACTTTGAAATTGGGAAGGATGAAAAACAAAATGGTTAAATTTCACATCAAAACAGATGAAACGTTTCTGTCCATTCCTCTACATTTGCAAAGTCTTCCAGTTGTCCTTTCAAGTAACTAAAGATTTTAGTATTAGGGCAAGTAATGCCAGTGAATCATCTGGCAGCTTCCAGTAAAACTATTTTAACTGACTAGATGGTATTGTCACCGGAGGATGAATGAAGGGGCTCCCACTGCTTCCCAGTTTCCATGCCAAATCTCAGGTTCTTGATATCCACAAACATTGAAAAGCATTTCAAGGTGTCGCACAATAAGGAGTCTAACAAGGTGAAAGTTTTAGCAAGGATTTATCCCTTGCTCAAAGAGGAAAGCAGAAACAGGTAGCTCCTCTTTGTCGCTCAGTTTTTGTAATTCAGCATCTAAAAAGAGATGGGAGGGAGGCAGCTGCTTTGGCTCTCCCGTTTCAATGTCAGAGTCGGGCCCTTTAAATATTGATTAAAATATAATTTCCCTGTATCATCTACCCTATTTTTTTTTCTTAACTTTACCTGTTTTGTGTCGTCAAAGTTTAAAGACAGCATATTAGTACTATTATGCTCTTTTGACAATCATAGAAACCCTTTATTCAGTAATATATGTAACATACCCATGAAAAATGTTTGCACGCTGGGTATCACTGGGGTAAAACATGATAAAAGCCTTCTCTGAAGCTTCCCGAGCCCTCTCCAGTTTTTTCCCTCATTCAAGTATGTTATTGCGACTTGTCTTTCCCAGGTGACTAGGAAACTTAATACTCATCGGGCTCATTTCAATCTGAGTCAGAGCCGGGTGTTTTTTTCACGGGCCCAGTTATCAGGGCCTCTGGAGAATGTTTTTGAGGGAGGAGTTTTAAGCTGGAAAGCTCAGGTTTTGTTGTTTACCCGCAGGTCTGAAGTCACCATCTTTTGGTGTTTGAGGTTATCTCACAGAGGTGAGGTAAGCGTCCAGGCAACAAAGGCTCCCTTTTTGACGTCCATGAGCCCGGGGTCAGGGCTGCATTTTCTCTCTCCATGGCTCCTCTGGGAACTGGCCTCTTCTGAGCTGTCGTGTTAACTTGCTCTGCTGCCGGCTGGTGACAGCGGCTGGATGACAGCCGACTGGGGACGCTTCAGCACCGACTCTTTCCCAGACACACTCCTCTTCACCCTCAACTCCCCACTCCCCTTTGTCCTCGCCATGATTCCCTCTCGCGGCGGTCCGGACCACCAGGACCAGTTTTAGGGTTTTCTTTCTCCAGGGAGACTTTGACAGAACAGGCTTGCAAAGGAAAAGAGGCAGAGTAAAAAATAAGTGTGTTGGTAAGTCAAAGTAATGGTAGTACGCCCCTGCGGCACGACGACCAGCAGCCCACAAGCAACGCGGAGGCCACAGGAACAAACACCCCAGGCCAAACGCCGGGCTCCCCAACCCCAACTGCCCGCCCTGGTGCCGTCACGTGACGGGAGAGCGGCGCGCGCCCGGGCTGCGGCGCTAATTGGCTGGCTGCGAGAGCGCGGGGTTTGATGGGAAGGAATTGGCCAGGCCCAGCGCTCTGTCAGTGGCGGCTTGCTGTCTGCTCCGGAGGGGAGGCAGGCTGCGCGGTGGCGGCCGAGGCTAGCAGGGGTGACGCCAGGGCCAGGCTGCGACCGCTTCACGCAGGTAGAGCGCTCAAGGTGAGGGCAGTTGGGGGGTTCTGTACCGGGGAGGCGCGCTGGGCTTTCCTGGGGAAAATCATCTCCGGGCTCGTTCGCCTGCCCTTCCAGGCGCCTCCGCCCCATGCCAAGTGGCCTAGGAGCTCTGCGGCGGCGGCTAGTTAACACTCCCAGTGTCGCCGCGTCGCCCCATTGATGTCCCATCCCAGGGGCAGGGGTGGCTGTGGAGTGCCGGCAAACAAAGGCTGGTAGTTTCCTAGCTCAGTTCCAAGTACGGACTGGCTTGAGCTTCAGCCCTTGGCCCACCCGTGTTGGGAGCGGCCAGGAGGTCCCCAACGAGCACCCTCTTGGCTTACCTGCCCGCTTGGAGGGCGCTCATTCGCCTCCCCTTTCCCAGTTGTGCCGAGGCGCTGCGAGTTAGGAAGGTCGGAAGGGACTGAAAACTGTCAGTGTCATGCTGCCCAGCTCGCGTGTGGGCGTGGATTGTGTGCGATTTAGAGAAGCGGTTCTCCAACCATTGTCCTTATTTAAAGGGACTCCGGTGGTGTGTGTCTGGGCGGGGGTGGGTGGGGGCGGACATGGGTGGGTGTCATAGGCAAGGCAGAACTAGACGAGCAAATCTCAATTACAGCCTTAGGTTGCATTCTTTGATGCTGTTTGCGGATTGAGAGTTGAGATTGGTGGACTGACTTAGTTTTCCTGCTTGTGCTCTCCCTGTACTAAGCGAGACCTGTGACTCATTGAGTTTTCCATGTTCTGCTTTTCCCTCTTGGCTTCTGGTTTGTGGTGCTTAGTCTACTATATTCTCCTCTTCCAGTGGTCTGGATCTCACTTTTGACAACATTGATTCTTTTCAACAGCGGTGTGTGATGGACGTGAGTAAATTTAGTTTCAGGTACATGTTCAGACTGGCAAGGAAGACCCTAGTCCTCAGCAGCTCCCATAGTGCCGCCTTAGCAGAACTAAGTTCATTTTGAATACGTTTTCTTAAACAAGAGTGGTGCATTTACACCTAGACTTTCAAGGTTCCCAGTCATCTGTGGAGATCAACTCAGTAATGCTGCTAATAAATTTATACAGTGTTTTGTATTAACTTGAAAGAATATAAGAAAAGGAGTAAGTTATATAGCTACCAAAGAGGTATGATTTAATATAGAAATCTTTCTAATCAAATAGTCATTTTTAAGTAGTGTGTATAGTTTTGAGTGACTGTTGACTTAACATGAAAGCAAGCACTTTATCACCACATATTAAAAAGTGCTTTTAGAGATGTGCTTTTCTATTTTGGGGCAATAAGTTGGTGGCTTGGGATGTTTCAGAATTGCCTTGTCAATTAGGACACTTTAAAGTTAGCGTTTTACATTATATGTAAACATGCTGTAGTAGTGGTACTGTTTGAGGGGACTAGGGGGAGGAGAGAGAAAACAGGAAAGAGAGTGAATAGTATCGACATACTTTGCATCTGTGCAGGAAGATGGCATAATGAAAGTTGTTGAATAATGGGGGGTGGGGGAAGGGGAAGGGGATTACTCTGATTAAAGTACAGTATGTTCATGGGTGAAATATCATGTATCACACCTTTGAACAATGAAGATAAAATCAAGGACAGGAATGTAAAACAGGTGGGATGGGTATTAGTGGAAGGTGGTAGGATGAATATGATACATGTACTTTATAATTTGTTAGAAAACAGAACAATGAAACCTGTTGAAATAGTTGTAAATAGGGGGGTGAGGGATAAGAGAATGATGGTGAGAGTGACCTAACCAAGGTGCATTGTAAGCATATGTGGAAATGTCACATGAAACTCCCTGTACAGCTAATTTATGCTAATATTAAAGAAGTTAGAATTTTAGAACAAATGTCCTTTAATCTTAAATTGTGTAGTATGATGTTATGGAGGTGCTGTTGAGGATGACTAAATAGTTCATATCTAAGTTTGGGACTTGGTAAATTAAACATAAAACTTAACTTCCCTTGCTATTTTCTTCAAAGGCTTATAAGGCCATTTTAATAGAAGTATCTGTAGAATTTTTTTTCATACTACAGTGAATGAAAGCAATAAAATTTCAATAAAAATGCAAACTATAATTTTAGTTTTCAACATTTAAATTATGAAGTAGGTCCTTTTTAAAAATGAGAAATAAGAAAGAAATGTCTGCAGTTAAGTACTATATGTGTTTTCTGGTAATGGCAGTAATAATGGCTATAATTTATTAAACATGTACTATGTGTTGGACATTGTGCCAAATGATAATTTCATTTAATGCAAACACAAGTCTGTGAAGTGCTGATATTTTCACACTTTAATTTCCCCAAGATCATATAGCTAGTATGTGGTTGAGTCACATTTTGAATCCAGATCAATTTTACTTCATTGCTCTAATGTGGTTTGAAATGAGCTGAAGTTTTTTGTGAATGGGATTTGAACTCAGGGCTTTGTGCTTGCAAAGTAGGTACTCTACCACTTGTGCTACACCTCCAGTCCAAGATATTTCTTAAGATTTTAAATTCTGACACCCAAACCTGAGTGTAAATAGTAATTAGTAGAAAACATTGAAATTATATGGTGGGCATTATTCTTGAAAAACACATTAAGATGTACCCTGCTCTTAAGGTCATGTAGGGTCCCATTGTGATAGTAGAGTGGAAAGAGACTCTATCCATGTTCATGGAAGAGTTTTTGGTGACAAGCCATTTAAGGTTGAGCCATTTGTTCACTCAAGGCCAAAAGAATTGATTTATGCTTCCGAAGGAGATGCTGGGGATTATTTGGTTGCAGGGTATTTCTCAAGTATTTGAAAGAAAGCAGAGATGGATTAAAAAGGTCAATGACTATAGCAATAGAAATAGTTTGTATTGAGTAATTACTATGTATCAGGTACTGTTGTCAATAGTTTAGAATATATTATGTTATTTAAGAGGATTCTTAACTGTTTTATCCCTCTCTTTTGCAGATGAGGAGATTTAGTAACAGAGAGGATATGTAATTTGTTTGCCCATTGTTTCACAGTAGGTGATGGGCAACCAGAATTAGAGTTAAGGTGTTTGGGTAGAAAGGAGAGAACCAGTGGTTGACAATAGAAGTATGAAATTAAACTATAGAATTATAGTTATAATTATATATATAGTTATAATTAATTGTTTAATTTTGTTATGCTTTTACATCTGTTATGAACTACTACCATGTGTGCATTATAGTAAATCATCTTCTTCTTTTACAAATGCTAGACTTTAATAGAGAAGTTGCTCAACAATGAGGGTTGAAGGTTTCTTTGATTATGAATCTGAAAGCATGTATATGGTATTTAATGACAGTCACCTTAATGTTTGAGAGGTCAGATTCAAAAGCAAAATCCCCTGCTTCAGGGAGCTTGGAGGCTAAGCCATAGTTTGTTTCATTCTCCAAGCAAATAGTTGATGTCAAAATTAGTATTACTTGCCATATTATGCATGAATTTCATATACTCACTTGAAAAGGTTATGCAGGAAAATAAGGACTGTGCTTTCAGACTTCTAGTTGTGCTTCTAGCTGGAGTTGCATTTCTTGGGTGAATCCATTTAGCTTTTCTTTAATATAGATTTAAACATTCAAATTTAATAAAGAATTTGGGCTACTTGATACATTGTACTAATATTGTCTCATGTTTATAACTCACTTTCCACTTTAGTAGTTCTGTTTGTCAGAGGGTGTTCATATATTTATTCATAAATATTCCAATTTAAACTATATAAAACAACCTTAATTTTTTATGTGGTGTTGTTGGGAAAAACTGGTTACTTTTTTAAACAATGAAAAAAAATCAAAACTAGTCAGGTGTCAGTGGCTCACACCTGTAATCCTAGCTACTCAGGAAGCAGAGATCAGGAGGATCAAGGTTTGAAGCCAATCCCAGGCAAGTAGTTTGGGAGACCCTATCTCGAAAATACCCAATACAAAAAAGGGCTGGTAGAGTAGCTAATGTGGTAGAGCACCTGCCTAGCAAGTGTGAGACCCTCAGTTCAAACCTCAGTAATGCCCCCCCCCTCTTAAATCAAAACTAAAATGCTATATCTTTGGGGCTTGCCATATTTCTTCACTTCTCCTTTCTCAGGGTCATCATAGTATCTAAGTGATAAAATTCATGTAAAGCATTTGATTTAAGGCCTGGTTGAGATGAAGTGCTGACAAGTAGTGTTATTAATTTCAAATACTAAAAATTCAATCTAAGTAGGTCAGGCTAAAATGGGCATGGTGGCCCATCTTGTAATGCCAGCACTCAGGAGGCTGAGGTTTGAGGCTCTCAAGTTTGAGGCCAACTGGGCTACAATAGGGAGACTTTGTCTCTAAACAAAAAACAAAAATAAAAAACTCAGGCCAAACCAAACAAACAAAAATTCAGTCTAGGGGTAATAAATATAAATTTGACTTGGAAGGATATGATTCTAAAATATGTAGGTCAATTGTGTACAAAATGCGGTGCCTAGATAACAAACACTCTTATCATATGACGTATACTTTGACAATATCAACTTAAGTGGTTCGTTCATCTGAATCGCCTCCCTTCTACCTTTCTTGGTGATTATTTTTAGCATCTTAAGAAGGTTTTTAATATTTATTTCATATCTTGACTCAAAAATTTATAATTTTATTCACTAGAGTTCATGAATATACTACAACCATATTTTAGTAATTTGAATACTGAGTTAATGTTCAAGGATTAATTTAGTTTGCAACTTAAATGTGGCTTATCAATTTGTGCTGGGTGAAGTTGCTGATAACCTATAATTCTAGCTGCTTGGAAGGCGGAGATGGGAGTGTGAGGTTCCAGACTGGCTTAGGCAAAAAAGTTGGTGAGACCCTATTTCAAAGAACTATTTTAGTACTTGGCTGAGTGGCTCAAGTACTAGAGTGCCTGCCTAGCAAGTGTGAAGCCCTGAGTTCAAACCCCAGAACTGACCTTCTCCCCAACCCCACCCCCCAAAAAAATCATATCATTGTATTTGTAAACTTAACAGTTTTTCAGAATAGATTATAGGTACTTTTGACCTTAAAAATCATTTTGTAAGCCAGGTACTGGTGGCTCATGCCTGTAATCATAGCTACTCAGGAGTCATAGATCAAGAGGATCATGGTTCAAAGCCAGCCAGGGCAAATAGTGCTCAAGACCCTATCTCCAAAACAATCCATCACAAAAACGGGCTGGTGGAGTGGCTCAAGTAATAGAGCGCCTGCCTAGCAAGCCTGGCAAGCGTGAGGTCCTGCCCCCCACCCCCCCTAAAAAATATTTTATAACTAGGCTCTTACTACTTTTCTAAGAAACTCTTAAAATAGGTAAGCCTAATGTATAAACAGTGTTGAAGTTTTTATTTAGTGCTGATAGTAACTCATAATATTTATGGTTAAAAATGTGAGAAGTATGTCCTTGATAACTGTGTATGTATGTATGTGTGTGTGTGTGTGTAAATGAAGAAATTTCACATATTATTAGCAAGTATATACCTGTAACTTGGTAAAAATGTCAGTTTGAAAGTCCAATTTTACCATTTCAACTTGTAAGAATAAACATACATGTAATACTGACTTTTAAATTGACTTAGAATATAATATTACTGAATTTGTTTTAAAACATTTGAGAGTCATGGATAAATAATTAAATGAAGGGGATATGCAGTGAGCTGACATGAAGGTCAACTAGCTTAAGGAACGTAGACAAAATTTCAGGTAGAAATGTTTACTTGGGGGTGTTGAACAGTAGTATTTGTCATAGGTACAAGAAGTCTGAAGATGGAGGGACTTTAGGACATGTTCCTTCTGTGCTGTTGGGCAAATCACTAAACCTCTTGTCACTTAAGAAATTGTTGATACTATTAACTCTAATATGCAAAAAATAATTAAGGCTCAACATCATTAAATGATTTGTTCAAGGTCACAGCTAGCTTTATAACCCTTATTTTCTTACTCAAAATCCAGTTTGCTTTCTATGATTACTTGTAAAGCGATGTTATTCTGAGCATTTCAGAGCTTTCCTATTTCCATATAACTAATTTAGTTGGGAGACAGTTAAATGATAGAAATGATTTTAAGTAAGTAAGTAGAATGAAAGTAGTATAGTAAAATTTGTTATAAGAACAAAATAGGGAGACTAAAGAACAGATAATCTACAGTCATATGCCTGTGTATTTCTAAAATGCTCTGTCATTTAAAAAGCCTTTCCAGCTCTATTTTTACTTTTAAATATGTCTTCCCTTTAAAGAAGGGTTTTAAAACAGTGGACTCTATTCCAGTAACTATCTGAACTGAAATTCCATCTAAGTAGAGGCCAACAAAATTTATATTTGATAGTATTTTTAGGTAGTATTGCAAGATATAAAATTTTATAATGTGTGTGCTGTGTGTTTAACTTAAAAAATTTAAATTCTTGCTTTATTTCTAGCTGTGACTTCTTTTGGACAACTAATGATATTTATCATTGTGCCAAGTTTCTACGAATAAAAGATGGGCGGATTTTTTTCTCGATGGAGGGTAAGAAAAAAGTATTTTTTTCACTGCTAGTCTGTAAGTCTGTAAATATTACATAGAGCTATCTATAAAAGTTTCCTTTGTGTTATAGCCTTTAGTTGTAGTTTGACGTTATCTATTTAATTTCTTTTAACTCTAAAGTTCTTTCTTCATTCTTCTAAGTTGCTTTTTACTGTGGATGTTATCTTAGTAGTTCTATTTGTTCTATAAGTGTCTAATGTCTCTTTAATATAACTATCTTACTTTGACTTAAAATAATTATTTTTATCTATATTTATGTATTTGTGTGTAAATGCTTATTTTTCTTATTTTTTTCTCATATTGCTTAAAGTCCAGACTTATTCCAGAGGCTGTTCAAGTCAAATATTCTATACTATATTTACTTTTTAAAAATTTTTAAAAAATTAAAATTTTTTTTTTTTTTTTTTGTGGTACTGGGGCTTGAACTCAGGGCTTATACCTTGAGCCACTCAAAGGTGATGGTTTGTGATTTTTTTTTTTTTTTTTTTTTGAGATAGGGTCTTGCAAACTGTTTGCCCGGGTTGACTTTGAACCACGACCCTTCTGATCTGTGCCTTCTGAGTAGCTAGGATTACAGGCCTGAGCCACTGACGCCTGGCTAAATTTTATTTTTTTATTGTTGTGCTGGAGGTACATTGTGATATCTAATAAAGTTCTTAGCAATATATCATAGTTGAATTCACTGCCTCCATCATTCTCCTTTATTCCTCCTCCCCCCATTCCTGTAATACTTTTAATAGGTCTCATCTTTCCATTTTTACATATGTGGATAAATTTAAAAAAAATTTTATTTTTGGCAGTACTGGGATTTGAACTCAGGGCTCACACTTGTAAGGCAGGCACTTTACCACTTGAGCTACTCTGCCAGTCCCTGTACTTAAGCTTTTATAATTGTACCTTTTTACTTAAAGCTGTGATAAATATTTAGGGAAGTCACACTAAATATGCTTATAGGAATTATAGGTTAAACAAAATTAGAAATGCAGTTTAATTATATTGGATAAGCCTTTAGAGAAAGTGTCTCAAATTTAGAACTAGAAACTATAAATTATATTGATAAATACTCTTCGCTGATATAAGAGGAGACAATATAGTCTGGGAACTGTTTATTTCTTGACTCCTTATTACTATAATAATCGAGCCTAGCAATAGCTGGCACATAATTTAGTTTTGGACTACTTCTGGAACAATCCATGTTTTAGATTTGTGCTATATCGAGTCCTTTCCTCTTTTGTTACCCCTTTATTTTTTTAAAATCAACAATTATACGTATTTATTGTGTACAAGGTGATGTTTTGAAATAAATATCTATTATGGAATGGTTAAGTCTAGCTAATTAACATGCTTTACCTCACATAGTACCATTTTTTTTTTATGGTGAGAATACTTAACACATACACTATGAGCATTTTCCAAGAATATAGTATAATATCAGTCATAGTTGCCATGCTGTGTAATAGGGCTGTTGAACTTCTTTCTATCTATGGTTTTGTATTTGTTGACTCCCAATCCAACAAGTCCCCAGCCCTCACATTTGATTCCCTAGACTCTGATAAGCACCGACTTTCTATTTGTGTAACATCAACTTTTTTGATATTGTGCATGAATGAGATGACTTCTTTCTTTGAAGTCTTAGGAAAGTTTTGTCTGAGGATCAAATATCTCTATTTCTTGGTCTTTCTTATTTGGTTGAACCATATGAAATTGTCAATATCTTGCTTTAACTTACAAAATAGTAATTTTGCATGGTTCAACCTAATGGTGACAACTCTTACAGGAACTATAATGAACTGATAATTAATTGCTGTGTTGGATTTTGTTTATTTCTTTATTTTTTGGTGATACTCGGGTTTGAACACAGGGCCTTGCACTTGTTCAAACCCGAAGTGTTTGAAGGCCAGGTGCTGTACCACTTGAGTCATGCCTCCAGCCCTTTTTGTTTTAGTTATTTTTCATGTAGTGTCTCACATTTATGCCTAGGCTGGTCTGGACCATGATCCTTCTTTTTCTTCCTGCCATGTAGCTGGGATTACAGATGTGTATCATCATGTGCAGCTTATTTGTTGAGGTGGGCTCTTGCTAACTTTTTGCCCGTGCTGCCCTCAAACTTTGATCCTCCCGGTCTCTGCCTTCCAAGTAGCTGAGATTATAGGTGTAAGCCACTGTACTTGCCTTGTATTGGTTTGTTCAGTATGTAATTGGTAAATTTCCTCTCAATTGTCATATGAGCCATTTGGCTGGTGTTCATTCTAGGTGATATAGAAATATCTTTGGCAAATAAGTTCTGCCATAATTTAGTATTTTTAGGTGCTCTTTAAAAAAATCTGATCTTCATAAAAAGTACATAAATTAGGAATTCAGAATGAAGGTAGCATATTGATTTTGACCTCCAAAGTCCTGAGTAAGTTTTAGCAATAGTGAGCCTGGCCATCCTTAGTCTGTGTATATTTTAATATGTGAATTCTTTTGAATAATCATTATTGAAGAAAATTTTTCTTGGAAGATAATTTCTCTCTATAAAGCATGTTTTGTTGATATTAAAAATGATAAAAGTTGAGCTAGTAAGTTGAAAATCCTTCTAGGAATACAAAGTAGAAAAAGGCTTATATATTAAAACAAATATAGTTCTATTTATAATTAAATTTTTCATTTAAATAAATTTAAGTTATAAATACATAGGAATATATATAGCTTGACAACATTTGATAGATTGAACTAAAATGCTTTTATGATTATATAAATCCAATGTTTCTAAGTTTTATAGTAACAAATTTTAATGCTATCTCTTATTTCTGTTTCTCTAATAGACAAAACCTTCAACTGTAGAAGTTCTAGAAAGTATAGATAAGGTATGTTCTTTGACTCTGAGGTATTTCAATTAATTTTTGGTGTTAAATAATTATTATTTTAGTAACTATTATTGTGGAACTCAGATGTGATATGGAAATTTAGAGATGGTATAGAGTAAACCTGAGGACTTTGGTGCAAGAGCTCAAAAAGCCCCTCAAAAATCCACAGTCTATCAGTGACTTAAGAAACCTGTATTAAGTAACAGAGCCTATTAGAATGAAAAATGGATCTACAGCATGGTGTAAATCAATGTAGCCAACAGGATAAAAAAGATTATAGGGTAGTCTGCAACAGTTTTTATCAGTCTGCAAAAGTTTTATAGCTGTTTGTACTTTCTAGTATTATAAAAAAATGACTGTTTTCTGGGAATATTGGAAGTGATCAACAGACTGAAAGAATATCACTGTTTGAATTTTTATTAATTTTTTTATTGTCAGATTTTTTTTTTAAAAGGGATTATTACTTGACTCAATATTTACTGATGCCAGTAAGATGCCTCTAATTGTTGCCAGTTTGATAGGTTAAAAATAGTATTTTTCATTTTAAAATGTGTTTTGTCAGAATATGCATTATAAAATTTTAAGTTTAATTTTAATTTTCATGGGACGGTCTGTTTTAAAATATTTGGGTATTATATCTTACTGACTTAAGAGTTCTTTCAAAAAATCTTTCTATTTAATTTTTCTATCATGTTAATTTTTTTAACATTTAAATTTTTTAGTGAAGTTTCAGATTTAATAATCAATAAATTTCTTACGGAAATCTAGGCATGGAAAATTTAGGAAAAAATCAAGATTAACAAAAAATATGGGTTGGATAAGATAATTCCCTATTCCTCAGTTCTCTATCTATTTACATGCTTAATTTTTTTAACATTTAAATTTTTTAGTGAAGTTTCAGATTTAATAATGCAATAATTTTCTCTTAACAGGAAATTCAGGCATTGGAAGAATTTAGGGAAAAAAATCAGAGATTACAAAAATTATGGGTTGGAAGATTAATTCTCTATTCCTCAGTTCTCTATCTATTTACATGCTTAATTGTATACTTGTGGTATCTTCCGGATGAATTTACAGCAAGACTTGCCATGACACTCCCATTTTTTGCTTTTCCATTGATGTAAGTAAATTATTATTTTTGCTGACCTTCCACTTTCTCATCAGGTAGTTTTAATATATTCAGTCTCTTTACTGTGAAATAGCTGATGTCTCAGGTTGAATAAATTTGGATTATTTTTGCAGTTTGAAAAATACTTCCTTAAAATAGTAGAAAAATTGTTTAAAGCTTTGCTTATAATCCAGCATACTTGAGGAATATCACCTAGTGTTGTTAGTAGTAGTGGCTCGCTATGGCAACCTTTTGTGATTCTCTAGTAGATGGCTGTGATCTTCTAGGGGTATTGACCATGGAGTGGGAAGTCATGATAAGTGGGGAGGGTTTGTAAAACAAAAATAACTGTCCAAATGACTCTGAATATATATTTAACTCATCCTAACTCTTTTCCTCTCTTTTTAGTTACTGCTGTAAGGCAGTTGATCCTTAAGTATTTTATAATGTAGCACTTTACAGGAGGTGTATCGTGATTGAGAATTTTGGGATACAGTTGAATAAAAAGTTTATTCATTCACTCAGGTAAACATTAATGTGTAGACATTGGATTATAATGGAATATGTGTCACAAGATACAAAGTCTCTGACTATAGTTCTTAGGTTGTATACATTAAGAATAAATATGAATGCTATGAAAGAGAAGTACAGTATGCTATGGGAACATTTAACAGAGGCCATAACCCAGTCTGGGGTGGGGAGTAGGGTCAAGGAAGAGCATTGGTGTTAGTTTTCTATTACTGCCACAAATTAAGCAGCTTAAAACAGCACACATTTATTTTATCAGACATCTGAAGGTTGGGAGCCTATGCAGTTTGACTGGGTCTCTGCTTAGCATCTAGTAGGCCTAAAAAAGTCGAGGTATCAACTAGCTTATGGTCTTTTCTGGAGTTGCTGGAGAATCTGCTTTAGCCTTAGGTTGTTGTTCAACTTCTGCCCCTAACTTCTTATTTTGCCCTTAACTAGGAGAAAGCTCTACTTTTAAGAGCTTAAGTGATTGTATTATACCCTCTAGGGTAATTCAGTATAATCGCCCTTTCTTAACTACTAGTGACTAATTAACATCTGTAAAGCCCCTTCACCAGCAATATCTAGATTATTGTATGACTGTAAAACCACAGGATGGAAATCTCTTTGGGATGGGGAAGGATATCTTTAGAATTCTGTTTACTACAGACTCCTGCAGAAGTGATGTTTGAGTTTGACCTGCAGGATGAGTATGTAGTGTACAATGGTGGATAGAGTATTTTAGGCCAAAGACACAGCATACTCAAAGGACCTGAGATAGGCTAGAGCATGGTAGGTTGAAAGAATTGGAAGAAGGCCAAAGCCTGATAGTTCATGTGGATGCTATTGCATCCACAATAACAGGATAAGGATTTTAGGATTTATTCTGAGTGGGAAGCCATTGTAGCCACAGAGTATACAGCATGTGAATAAATTAGAAAGGAATAAGAATGAATATGGAGCAGAAAGTCAGAAGGTTAATATAGGTGATAAGGAGAGAAATGATGAATGATAATTTGCATTTGAGTGGGAGGATTGAAGAGCAGAGAGATTGAATGAAGTAGATTGAAGAGATTTAGGAGGTAGAATTGAAGTAATATGGAGAGTCTTTGATTGGTTGGATAAGGGGTAAGGAGGAGAATCACATAAAGGATAAAGCTCAACTTTATAGCTTGGGAAATTTGGGTTAGTGGCACTGTCATTCATCTAAAGAGGGAAGGAGCAACATGAGCAACAGGTTTAGTGATCAACTGAGACTAAAATACCTGTGTATTTTCTAGATGGAGCAGTCAAGTGATGGTTAAACATGACTATGAAGATTAGGAGGCAAATTTGAATGGGAGATACAGATTTAGGATTTTGTTGTTCATAAATGTTAACTGAAACCATTAATTTTCCATTCATTACGTATTAGGCATCCGAAATGTGTTAGGTACTGGGCTAGACTCTAGTGATGGAGAAAAGTATAAGATTTTTGCTCTTGTGGAACTTGTATTCTACTGGGGTTGGAAAGACACATACACACACATACACAGAGAGAGAGACAAGTGAATAATCATGGTTTATTTAGAGAGAAAGCACAATGAAGAAAATAAACTGAGTGATATAATGAAGTAGGCTACTTAAGGTGTTCCTGGAAGTCTTCTTTTGAGGAAGTGGTATGTGAATTGAGAACTAAAGCATGAGGAAGAAACAGTATGGAGAAGTTTATGAAGATTATTTATACATACAGCATATAATGACACGTATCTACAGAGATATGTATGAAAAGATTATCCCCAAAATATTAATGGTAATTCTGTTTTGGTAGTATGTTTTTAAGTAGTTATTTCATTCCATATATATATTTGATAGTGTTTGGGTTTTTTTTGTATCTGTGTTCTTCATATCTTAAAAACAAAGTCCAGGAGTTGAAGGAAGATCTTTCTAAGAACAGAGAAGAGAAAATGCTGTGAGCCTGAAAGAATATGACTTACTTGAGGAGCAAAAAGATAGGCATATTTGGAATGTGAGAATCAGGCAAGAGCCAGATCATGGAGAATCATGGCTAGGGAATATGAAGTTAATTTTAGGTGAAATGGAAAGCTTCTATAGTGGAAGAATAGCATAATGAAATTGAAGGTAAGCATCATGCACAATGCCAAGTGGAGATTGGGGGAAGGGACAGGAGTAGAAGTACCTAGGAGACTGCTATATATGTTCAATCTAAGGAAGAAGATGGATTGGACTGCCCGGTAACATCAGAAGTGAACAGATAACTAGGAAATGTTTTGGAAATAAAGCTGATAGAATTTGTTAGGAGGAAATAGGAAATAAAGGAAAAGGAGGTTATTGAGAGTGACACGTAGGTTTTTGGTTTAGTATTTCCAAATTGGAATTCTTGAAGCTCCTGAAATTTCACCTTTGCATGTACAAAATTGAAGATACAAATGTTTGTTTAAATTTGCAAGCTGAAATTGAGTGCATGCATAATATTCCAAATAATTATTTTTGATCCTCCTTCTGTCCCTCCCTCCCTCCCTTTCTCACTTTCTCCCTTCCCTTCTTGTCTGCTTTCCTTCCTATTGAAACTAGGGTCTCATGCATGCTAGGTAGGAGTTCTGCCACTGAACTGCACCACCATCCCCTCTGCTACTTTTTTATTTTCCTTCTTTTTTTTTTTTTCAGAAATCTTTTAGAATGTTTTTTATCCCAGGAATAGTAGAGGATTTTATAATATAAATTATAAAGAGGGGCAAATAAATTTAAAAGGGAATACATGTGAGATGTTTAGTTGATTTAAAGATTTTTTTTAAAAAAGCTTAAAGAATGCCACTTAACATTCATTTCCATATAAAAATTAACTTTCTGATTTATAAAGGATTTGTATCTTAATTGCAGAAGAAAGTCTAATTGGGAATTCTGCTTTGCTAAGTCTAATGGTGTACACAAATTGTGATCCACTGGATCTGCTATTGACTTATAAGAGGTTTTTTGGCAAATAAATATTAAATACTAATTATTACTATATTGATGGTGTTGGGGATTGAATCCAGGGCATCATGTATGCTAAGCTCTACCACTGAGCTGCACTCCTAGCCCTAATTACTTTTTAAAAGTAGAAAAACCAAATTTCTTTAAAAGTGTAATTTCTTCAATTAGGTCTTTCTACTGTTTTGAGTATGAAGTGTTCCTGACCTTTCTGTGTCCCTCTTACTGCTGTGTATCACCTGCATCTAGTATTTCATGACTTGTTAAGCTGCAGAGTCATTTCTTTCTCACTTTGTCTCATTCACATTTGTGACCTTGTGCTCAGCTGTTGCAGCTTCTATTTCAGCCAGCGCTGCACTTTTGGGAGCATAGACTAATTATCCAACAAAGAATAGAATTGTTCTTCTGATCAATGACATAAAAAAAAAAACCCATGAAATATAATACAAAAATGTGAAAGTCAGTGTTGTGGTAAATAGAAAGAACGTATGCACAAGACATTTCCTTTTGTGTAATGTGAGTTATTGCCTGAGCTTATCCCTGGATTTTTTCCTTTGGGAAACATTTTTGAGGACTGGACAAGAATTTACTTAAAGTATTGGAGACACAAGTAGCAATAAAATGTATTGCTTTAATCTCACAGTTTACATTGAGTATACAGCTTGGAAATCTGTCTGATATCTCCAAAACATGACAGCCATCTCTGCATTCCCACCTCCCTAAATGCTTTTACTACGGAGATTATGGGTCAGGACTGAGAATATATTTATAATCATAGCTGTGCCTGCAGTCCTCTTTATCACAGCCTCCCAAACAGCTAGGATTGCAGGTGTGAGCCACTGGTGCTGGCAGGCTTTTTTTTTTTTTTTGACTTTGAGTTTTGTGAGTTGTTTTTATAAGTATCTACTTTAGTATCCACGGGGGATTGATTTCAGAAGCCTCCCTTTTCCCTGCCAGGATACCATAATCTAGGTATGCTCAAAACTCATACATAAAATGACATATTTTTACATGTAACTTATGTACATCTGCTTTTTGTATATAGGGTATTTCTGAACAATTTCTCTTTAATCTCTGCCTTCTCTCTTTCTTATTGGAACCAAATTCCGGAGTTTCTGCCTGTAGCTATGTGTCTCATGCTCATTGTTAGAATCATGGGTTTTTAGGCTTTATACTTGGAAAGATTTACCTTGCTCAACTCTTTGTGAGTCAATAGAGTTTTCCTTTTCTGTTTCATCTCTTCTGAGCTCCTGTGTGATAGCCATTACTTTTGAGAGCCCTGTGGAGGTTGGATTTTAGCTATATCTTAGTTTTACCAGAAAAAGAGATTGCATTTTTGTTTTTGTTTATCTTGTTTGTATGATTTCTAGGGGGGCAGGAGGGATGAAGACTATGCCTGTGTTCTCAAACTAGAAGTCAGTAATAATATCTCTGTATTTTATTTTTTGGTACTAGGGTTTGAACTCAGGGCCTTGCGCTTGCTAGGCAGGCATTCTATCACTGGAGTCACTCCCAATCCCAGTAATAGTATCTTTAATATAATCACAATAACATATTGCTATATTTTTATAAGTTATATTTAGTTATTAGGAAAGCAAAACTTTTGTTTGCATAACTAGAACGTAGTTTCCTGAAGTACTTTAATTCTTTTTTTAAATTTTATTTTAAAATAGAAAGTAATTTCATTTAATTTAGTCATAAGGAGTAAGAAATTCTGCATGAATACAGAATAAAAATAAATTCCATGTGCAAGACCTTTTCAAGTCTTGAAAACTTGACACATGGAAATGTATATTGTTTTATAGCTCATTTTTCTCAGGAGTAGTTCTAATAAAAACAAAAAGAAGAGTTTACTGTTCACAAAGGGGGACTAGTTTTAGTTTGAAGGGAGTATATTTTAATTCTTACAGTTTTTACATTTTGAAAATTAGGCTTTCTTTTTTGTGGTACTGGGGTTTGAACTCAGGGCCTCACATTCATTAGGCAGGTGCTCTACTACTTGAGCCACTCCTCCAGCCCTTGAAAATTATACATACTTTAAAGAAAGTATTCATTTAAGAAAATTTATTGATTTCCCATAGAATTTTAGTTACTATCTCTGCAGTTCATTCTCTTTTTGTCTTCTTTTTCTGAATCCTCTCTTGTAGACTGTTAGGATTTTAGTGGGTTTGCATCAGAGAAATAACACAGTGGTCCCTCCTTATCTGTGGTTTTGCTTTCCATGGTTTCAGTTACTTGTGGTTAACCAAGCCCAAAAATATTAAATGGAAAATTTCAGAAATAAACAATAGATAACTTTCAAATTGTATGGTGATCTGAAGAATGTGATGAAATCTCATGCTACACAATGCTGCCCAGGTTGTGAATCAACCCTTTGCCCAGTGAGTCCATGCTAGATATGCTACCCACTTAGTCACTTAATAGTCCTCTTGGTTATCAGATGGATTGTTGAGGTATCATAGTCTTTGTGTTTAAGTAGCCCTTATTTTACTTACTAATATTCCCAAAGCACCTGAGTAGTGATGTAAAGGAGGTACTAGGGCATAAAACATGGAGGGACAGATTAACACTGGTACTATGTGGCAATGCTGCAGGGCACATGGGAAAAACTATCGTTTATATAGGGTCAAATACTTCTGTGGTTTCAAGCATTCATTGCTGGTGGTGGATGAGTGTCTTGAAACATATCTCCTGTGAATAAAAGGGGACTACTTTATGGGACTTTTCTATATTGTAGGATCCTTGAGGAATATGAGCACTATGCTTCTTTTCTTACCTCTTTTCCTTCCATAAGGGCAACGCTCAATGTCTTTTTGCTGCTTAGGTAGTTGTCCAAGTACCATGTAGGAATATGGTACTCGTTATTTGGTGTTTTCATATCATGAAAATAGAGCATCACAATTTAAAAATGAATATTAGTTACCCATTGCCATGTAACAAATTGGCCCAGAATTTAGTAGCTTAACACAACAAATTGTTTTATATTTTACAGTTCTTGAAGGGCAGGAGTATTGGAGCAACTTAGCTGAATGGTTTGGGCTCAGAGCCATTTGTTCTTATATAAATTGCAGTTAAGCTTTTGGCTGGCAGTATGGTCATCTAAAGGCTTAACTTAATCTGCGCAATCACAGCAGATAGCTGTTGTAGAACCTTTACTCCTGTTGTTGTCCAGACCACTGCTAGACACTTCATTTCTTTTCAGCACCAGCTTTGGCCTTTGTCTCACTTTCTTCATTTTGTTCTTGTGTTTCTTTGACTGTTTCCTTCCTTGAGGTCTTTTTTGTTGTTGTCTTGAAGTCTTTGTTGTTGTTTTTAAATAAATCAGGCCACATCTTGTAAGTCTACATTTGGGATCATTTTTCTTTGCATAATCTGAGGAATCCTAAATCATGCCAAAGCCATTTATTTTACCACCTCCAAAATCAGTTCTGAATTCAAGTACAAAGGTGATGTCTGGTGTAGTCATACATTTCAGCTAATTTTTCCTGAATCTACCTCTAAATTCACACATGTGCACAGTTGTTAGCAAGCTTTAGTTCTTTGTTGAATATTTACCACATACTTTTGCTTCTCACCACTCAGACCTTCCTTAGATTTCTCTAATTATTCTCATATAATACAAGTTGGCTTCTCTCAGAGGAGGTGATCCAAGAGACTGAGTGGAAGAGGAGGCCCCAAATGGAATCTGTGATCTTTTATAACTTTATCTTGAAGTTAGATATTATCACTTCTGCCATGTGCCATTGGTCATATAGACCAACATTTGTGGGAGAGGACTACTCAAAGATCTGAATATGAGACAGGGACTGTTGGTGACTGACTGCCTTGCAGGTTGACTCACCAAAATAGCACTGCTGTGGAGTAAAGAACTAGTTTTCATACTTATATTCTGCATTTATATCCTGATGCAATGTATTTTTATTTAAAATGGTGAGTAATGTTTGTTTATTTCTACCATGTTTTATGGAGGAAGAAGTATTTTATAAATACTCTGTATTTGTAAAAAAAAGTATTTTACATTGAATTTAAGAGATGATCTTGCTAAGCTTATGGATAGGATTACTCTTTTGAGGTTTTTTTTTTTTTAAATTCATTTAATATCATTTGATAATTTACTAATGCAAGACCTAAAGAATGATCCTTATGAAAATTTTAAAAGGATGTGTTTGGTAATTTTTCTTGTCAGGTGTTATTTGAAGTTAAGGTTTTTGTTCATTTCCCCAGATGGCTTGTTCTGTTGAATAGTGAAGATCCCTCTGACACTAAATAGTAGGGAAGGAATAGCAACTTATATAATGCTGTTATATTTGTAAAAGAAAATGTGCTTGCTCATTAACATATGGAACTAGATAAGAATAATTTTGGAGTTGATACTTAGAGGATTCAAATATTGTTCTCAATCTTTTATTGCATTCATAGACCCTTTTAAGATTGGTGAAAGCATTGATTTCTCTAGATAATTTCATTCATACATACATAGGCAATTTTAATTCAAGGGAACCTTCAGAAGGTCTTCTGAAGTAGTTTAAGTAGACTTCTGATGTCTCCTGACAAAGATTTGATTTTCAATATATAATGGAAAATAATATACCTAACTCTAGTTGGAAGTTTATATTTGTTTTCATCTTATGTGGCTTCTAATTCATCTATTATATTGATGGTTTTTGTTTTGAATTTTGCTTCCCCTTTAGCATCTGGAGCATAAGAACGGTGCTTATTTTCTTCTTTTCCAAGAGAACAGAAAGAAATAGTAAGTTTAAGTTCAAAGGACGTTTTTAAATAAATTCTAAAAAAAATTATCTTACAGTTTGTTATTTTATAAAGCATGTTATAAAATGGTATATTGAAATGACAGTGTTGTAAATATTGAATTATTTACTGTAAAGCATAAGAAGGGTTATGAATCCAAGATGGTTCTATTTTTAGCTTATGTTATTTCTGACTTATTTATATTTTTTCATATAAAGCAAAATATTTGTTTAAATCAAGACATTGTTTTTGTTAATCTTTATTGGTATAGAGTAAAATACAATACACATCTTTTGATCTGTTAATTGAACAACTCTTCACATTCCCTTGGCTTTGTTGTAATTGAAATATGTAAGTTATAAAAATCTGGTTCTGTATGTTCTGTGTATATGTAAATTTTAAAGATTTTGGTATTAATTACAATTAACTAGAGATGTACAAATTTGATTTATTTATTTATGTTTTTATTATATATTGGGGGTATATTGTGACATTTACTAAAGTTATTTTAGTATGTCATAATTGAATTCATTCCCTCCATTATTCTCCTTTATCCTTCTTCCCCTCATTCCTGGAATAGTTTCAACAGGTCTCATTTTTCCATTTTCATACATGAGTACATAATATTTCCACCATATTCCCCTTCCTACACCCTTTCCTTATATCCTCTCCCCTCCCACTGGTGCCAAGCCCCAGACAGGACTGGGGGTTGTCTTCCTGTTATCTGTTTTTGAAAAAAAAAAAAAAACACAATAAAAAGATATTTTTGTTTGTTTAAGGTAGCTGTACAGGGTATTTTATTGTGATGTTTCTGTGTATATATGTATTATAACCCTAATTGGTTCATCCCTTTATATTTCTTTCAACCTTAAGTCCCCTCACATTTCATTTTAAATGAACTTTCTGTATGATACATTTTTTTTCTTTTCTTAATTTGTCAGTATACAAAAGTAGATTGAATAGTATAATGAACCCTCATATACCTATCACCCAACCTGAACAATTATCAATTTATGGTCAGTGTTGTTTCATTTTTACCTTCACCCGTTTCCTCTCTGTCTGTTGTTTTGAAGTCTATCTCACATATATCTATTCACAGCAGACTCATATATGTATGTATATACATTTATGCATTATTATACATATATATAAAATGCATTATTAGAGTTCTTAAAATCATAATCTATCAACTATAATAATATTGAAATAATAAAATCAGAAAATTGTCTTATATGTGTCATTTGCTTTAAAAATATTTTGTTTGTTTGACTCAGCATCTGAATAAGGTTTGTTTAAAAATATGGCTTTCAAACTGTCCTCCTTATTCATGACTGCTCTTCTATCCAGTTTAGGCCTGTGGTCTAGCCCAAAAGACCATAGCTTTGACTCTTGCTGCTTTTCCCCATATTACTTATCTGACAGACCCTACCCTGTTTAAATATAATTACATGCTTAATCTATGACTGGAAAACACTATTTAATGCGTAATCTTTTATATGCTTAATCTTATCAGAGCAGTTAAATTTGTTAGAGGAAAGTCATAAGTATACTAACCAGTTTACTTTAAGTCTGATTGTAACTATCAGATAAGCATTCAGCATGGCTAGATGGTCCTACTATAGTTCCCTAGTAAATTCACTTTTTTTCCTTGAGATCATTTTGTTTGACATTGTGTTTCTCCTCAAATCAGTAATATCTGCTTCCACAACAAAAACCAAATCAAAACCAATCAACCAGCTAACCAAATTAAAAAAATCAAAAGTCACAAACAACTGGCAAGTCCCTACAAAATGTACTGAGCCACTCTTAACTCATAGTCTTACTTGAAACACATTATAAATGTAAACAGATGGAATGCTTACCTCTGCCACCAAATGTCTCATTAGCTCCATCTGTACTCTCAGTATGTCCTTGTTTTTTATGGTGTCCCAGAAGACTGGCCTTGATCCTGTTAATGGCTAACTCTCATTTATGCTCTGTATTCTAGATACTCTGACCATCTGAAAAACTTTCATTTTGCAATTACCTCCTTCAGTTATTTCTTTTTTGTTTCTGTTTCTATTGCATTATTCCTTGACATATAATCTGCCTCAGTACAACCATGGGAAAGGGGGGACCTATCCTGAATCCATGTTCCTTTTAAGCTACCACTGATTTCTTTCTCTCCTTCAAAGTAAAATTTCTTAAAAGACTGTCTATGCTTAGTAGCTCTTCCCCTCCAGTCCCTTCCTCCAACTACCTCCACCCATTCTTTTCTCAGCTTAAAAGTTTTATTTCTACCAGTTTTTACTGCAGTGGGTCACTTCAAGGACTCTAATTCGTGTTTTGTTAAAGCCCGCGGTCAATTTTATTTTCTCATCCAAACTTAATCCTTAATTGCATTTGAATTAATTCAGTTATCTATTCTTTCTTGAAATATTTTGTATATTTAAGCTTCTATACTTCATTGGTAATTTCTTTTTTAGTTTTCTTTGTACCTTCTCTGCTAGAATTCTAGTCTCATTTTGAGAATTTGCTTAGATTCATGTTGTCTAATAGAACCTCCTATGATATGAAAAACATCTGTATTTTCTATCCAATATGTCTGACAGTCATTTGTGGCTTTTGAGCACTTGAAATATGGCTAGCTAATACAACTGAACAACTGGATTTTAAATTTAGTTTAGTTTGAAGTAGTTTAAATTTAATTAATCTTATGTGACTAGTGGTTACTGTATTGGACAGTGCCTCTCTAAGTGATTTTATCCATTCCTATATTAAAATACCATGTTTTTTGTCAATGACTCCCAAATCTAAGTCTCTTTTCCCTTCAGCTATAGGAAAGGTATTCCTAATGGTATAACTGGTATTTCTGCTTGAGAGTCCAGTTGGTATCTCATACTTAATATGGCCCAAACAGAATTATTTTTACTTTTGCCCTTTATTACCACTCTCCCTACATCTTCCCCCTCTCAGTAGTTGTACTATACAACTAGTAATACCTGCTTTTGTCAGGGTTCTCCAGAGTAACAGAACCAATAAAGATTGCCTGCCTGCCTGTCTGTCTATCCATCCATCCATCTATCTATCCATCTATCCATCCATCTATCTATTTAACCTGTTGTCTATCCATTCATCCTTCCATCTGTCTAATTAAGGAATTGCTTCTTGTGATTATGGAGACTAAGAAGTTCCAAGATTTACTGCTAGTAAGCCAGAGACTCAGAAGACCTAATGGTTTAGTTAGAGTCCCAGTCTGAGAAGCATGAGAACCAATAGAGTAAGTTCTGTTCTGAATGCTGGCAGGTTAGAGACCCAGGAATAGCTGAAGTTTCATTTTAAGTGTGAAGGCAGAAGAGATGGATGTCCCAAATAAAAGCAGTTAAACATGGGAATTTCCTACTTAAGAGAGAATCTACTTTTTGTTTTATTTAAGCCTTTGAGTAGATGAAGGTCACCTCATTAGGGAAGGCAATCTACTCAGTCTACCAATTCATGTTCACCTCGACACACCCTCACAGGTATCTAAAATTGTGTTTGACCAAATATCTGAACACACTATACCTCAGTCAAATTAATACAAAATTAGCTTAAAAATCTGGAAGTCATTTTTTATTTTTCTTTTGTAGTCATTCACTTTACCAGCAAGTTATATCATCTTTACTTTCAAATTTATTTTGAATCTGACCAGTTCTAACCTCCACTACTACTACAGTTTAGTTCTTCAAGTGATTATCAACTCTTGCTTTCACTACTACAAAGGCTTCTTAACTAGTCTATGTTTAAGGTAGATATCATATCTTGTGTCTCTTTTGCTTTCAGTTCTCTACTGGATGCCCATTGTAACCAGAATAAACCCTGAATTCTTACCCTGAATTTCTGATTTATGGCTTTTTTTCTGTTTTCATCTTTTTCCTCTCCCCTTTTTTCACCTTTGCTCCACCACACTGGCCATCTTTTTGTTCCTCAAACATGGTCTCTGAACTTAGTTTCCTTATAAACTGGAAATAGAAATATTTGTTTTGGCATGACTTTTACTGTTACATGTAACTGGTGAAATTGTGTAGAAATTGCAAAGTGTTATACAGATGTGAGCTGATGGTACTGATTATTCTTTCCCAATCTTTATTCTTTTATTTTTATTGCCTTAAATGGGTTAGGACCCAGTACAAGATTGACCTGAAATGGAAATAGCAGGCATCTTTGATTATTGATTTCAATGGAAAAAACTTTATTTTTTTAAAAATTTCTTTTATTCATATGTGCATACAATGTTTGGGTTATTTCTGCCCCCTTCCCCCCGCCCCCTCCCTTTCCCCTGCTCCCTCCCCCCCCCCTGCCCCCTTGCTACCAGGCAGAAACTATTTTGCCCTTATCTCTAATTTTGTTGAAGAGAGAGTATATGTAATAATAGGAAAGACCAAGGGTTTTTGCTAGTTGAGATAAGGATAGCTATACAGGGAATGGAAAAACTTTTAATACTTTATCATTAAGTATAATATTTGCCCTGGTTTTAAAAAATACTGAGCTTTAAAAAAATCAGATTAAGGAAATTAATCTTATTGTTTTCAGTGATATTTAGTAGATCATAAGAGGATAGGAAGAAGTTTAAAACAAATGTGTTCTCTGACTTCCAGGAATAACAAAATATATGAAAACCTTACTTCAAAAGAATCCTCAGTAATACTTCTTAAGGAAATTGCACCTGTGAATATTTTAACTTGTAAATAGGCAAATCTGGATGTGGTTATTATATAAAAGGCTTTTTTTCTGCTTTAAAAATGTATTTCAGGGGTCCAGTTTATTTTTATAATTTTACTAATTTGAGTAGTTTTGAATATACACCTAAATAGACTTTATAAAAGATTGTCTTGAAGTCTTACACATTTTTTAAAAGTATAAAGTCATGATATATGTATATATATATATATATATATAAAATTTTTTTTTTTGGTCTGTTTTCCCTTTTTGGCGGTTCTGGGGTTTGAACTCAGGGCTTCATGCTTGCTAGGCAGGCACTCTACCACTTGAGCCATTCCACTAGCCCTTTTTTGTGTTGGGTATTTTTGAGATAGGGTCTTGTGAACTTTTTGCCCAGGCTGGCTCTAAACCATGATCCTCCTGAGTGGCTAAGATTATAGGAGTGAACCATGGTGTATGGCTTTGTCCTTGCTTTTTTTTGTTCTCTGTTAGTTTTAGCTTAACTTGGACAATATAGATTAAAGCAGGGGTTGTCAAATTACAGCCAGAGCCAAATCTTGCCCACAACTGTGTATAGTTTGGATCTAAGAATGGTTTTTACTGCTTTAAGTTATTGAAGTTACTTCAAAGAATATTTTGTGCTGTTAAATTTTTATGAAATTCAAATTTCAGTTTTTATTGAAACATAGCTATGACATTCATTTCTGTGTTGTCTTATAACTGCTTTCATTCTACACTGGCAGAGTTGGGTAGTTATGATAGACTGTATGTGGTGGTTTTAGCACATCAGACTGTTGTATGACAAATGACATTTCAGTTCAGACTATTCCATTACATGTTACAATGCTATACTTATAATTTGACAGCATTTTAAGTTCCATATATATTATAGTATTGTGAACAGTTTTATTGATTTTTTTGCCAGTGCATACTCATCATGTAAAAATAAAAGAAATATAAACTTTCAATTTTTTTTTTTTGGTTGCATTGGAGTTTGAACTCAGGACCTCATGCTTGGTAGGCAGGCACTCTTAGCACTTGAGCCACTCCGCCAGCCTTCAGTGTTGCTTTTTTTAGGACACAATGGAGTGTGGACTATTTGTTATCTAAATTCAAAGGCATTATAGCTTTCCTAAAAGAATATAATGCATATTGATATTACCATACTAAGTACTCATCATAATATTCCCAACTCATAGAAAAGCAGTGGTCTTAAATTCAGAAAATGTAAAGTGGAATAGCTCATCATTGCAGAATTTCTTCATAAAAACAAAAAGTTTTTGGCTTCTACTGAGTTGACAATGATTGATACTGCTTACTTATAATTTATTTGAATGAGTCATCTCTGAGTTTGAAATGACTGAAGAAGTAGCTTCTGTAAAAATTTTGTACAAAATGACTTCTGGTGAGAATATTTGCAAAGAAGTTGAGTAGACACTAATATAGTTCAACCTGCAGTGGAATCTGCTAAGATGTATTGTAACTATTAGTAGTAAAAATATATGTGAAGCAGAAAAAGGCGTAGCTGGACAAATTTACAAAGCTAATTAAACTGTAAGGTGCTTAAAATCTGTGCTTATTCAACAGCTGATACTTGGCAAAGCTTATTGGAATCTATCATTTTGTTATTGAATCAGTAATTCATTTGCTGTCATAGTCTTTACCGTTGTCAGCTATGTGAACTTTTGTCAGAAATAGAAGCTGAATATCTTAACTTGCTTTACCACACAGCAGTTTGATAGCATAGCAGTAACAAAGTCTCTTTTGATAGTTTGATCTCAGAGTCCAAATTAAAAAAAATTTTTTTTTAATGTGTTGGACTGGAATTTCAACTCAGGGCTTTGTGCTTGCAAAGCAAGTGCTCTACTGCTTGACCCTAGTGGTGGTGGGTCCTTTAATCCTAGTTATTTAGGAGACTGAAATAGGGAGGATCATAGTTTGAGACCAACCTGGACTAAATAGTTTCTTAGACTCTCAACTCCAAAATAACCAGAGCAAAATGGACTGGAAGTGTGGTTCATGCAGTAGAATGCCTGCTTTGTAAGTGTGAAGCCATGAGTTCAAACTCCAGTCCCACCAATAAAAAAAGATCTCTGTTCTCATACAAATTTGCAGTAGATCCATAGTCTGAGCTTAAAGTACAACTCCAGTGGCATTTTTCGGATTTTAATACAAGTATAAAGGAAATTTCCATATTTCTATTACTTGTATAATTTAGAGCTTCTACTAATCTGAATGAAAGTGATTAATATATAACATAATGACATACTAAATGGCAGATATTTAGAGAATAATCTAATACATTTTTATAAATGTTCTAAATGATGAATATGCTCAATTAAAATCATGTGCTTATGGGTTGATATCAGTATTTGGAAGTACCTATGGAAAAAAATTGGTAAACTCTTCACAGATCAGCATATTGAGGAATTAATATTTGCAATGATGATAGAATATAACTTTGAATTCAATTAAATGAAAAGTTATCCTCCTCCCTTCCCCAAATTCTATGAGCAAAATATGAAATATATGAGTAAATATTGAGAATTTTTTTTATACATCTATTAAATTTAGAGAAATCCTAAAATGAAAGTTTTTTTTGTGATGGCTTAATGTATATCATTTGACATAATTCATTTTTAGATATCTAAGTATCTTAATATCTTAACTTTGTCTTAAATCTTGTTTTATAGATGAAGCATTGGATGATTTAAAATCCCAGAAGAAAAAAATAGTAAGTTAACTTTTATTTAAAATTAATTATAAACAAGTAAGTTAAAAACTGGTTAATAAATGTTTATATGTTGTTTCCTAATGACTCTGAGAAATAAGCATGCTTTTAGATAGCATATTTTAAAATTAGCTGCCTTTTTTTTTGTGATACTGGTAGTTGAACTCAGGGCCTTGCAGTTGCTAGGCAGCCTTTCTACCACTTGAGCCACGCTGGCGGACCTGTGCAGCATTTTAATGAAGTTAAATTATGAGTATTTTTGTTAGTCAATAATAACAGGAAAAAGTTGTTTAGATGTGCTTTTGAGATTCTGAGAATTTATGTCAGTTGAAAGTTGAGAAATAAGTAAATCATATTGGGAATTAATGAGGTAGAGAGGGTGAAAAAGTGTGTGCCCAGGTTGTTTATTAGAACCACAAATGGATCAAATAATCTATATATGTCATTTCTTGGGTTTTCTTGACACCATGAAACCAAGAAAGAGTAATTCAAGAAGATTGGTTGTAAGAGACAATTTCAATATAAAAAAGACTAAAACATACCAGTAGCACTGATCGTGTGGTTATGTATTGTGAGGACAGTTACATGCATCCTTTGGATGTGTTGGAATAGTACCAAGCATAAGAGGAAGAGCCCTAGGTTGAGGTTGATATCTAATAGTCTCTAATGGTCTTGACTTTGACTTAGTGGTTTTATATATTCTCCCTTCCTTCCTTTCCTTCCTTTTCTTTCCTTCTCTTCTTTCATTCTTTCTCTCCTTTCTCTTTTTCTCCTTTCTTTCTCTCCTTTCTTTTCCTCTCCTTCCTTCCTTCCTTCCTCCCTCTTCTTTCTTTCTCTTCTTCCTCCTTCCTTCTTCTCCTCCTCCTCCTCCCTTCTTCCTCTTCTCTTCCTCCTCCTTTTTTTTGAGACACAGTCTTACTCTGTAGCCCAGACTGGCCTAGAACTTGGCTATTTCCTGATCCTCTTGTCTATGCCTCCCAAGTGTTGGGATTACAGATATGTACCACCACACTTGGCAACATATTACCTTAATATTATTGAAAAATGATAATTGCTGATGATATTGTTGTATGGAAATTCATTAAATCAAATTTAATTGGGTGCATATGATCAATTTAGTGCATTTTATCTAGTATGTAACAAGTTGTGTTAGCTGTCACTGTGATAAAATACCTGAGACAATCAATTTATAAGGAGGAAACATTTATTTTGGCTATGGTTTCAGTGGTTTTAGTCCATGATTACTTGACTCTGTTGCTTTGGCCTGTGGTGGCAGAGTTCCTCATAGCAGGAGGGCATAACCTCATTGTGGTCAGAAAGCAAAGAGAGAGGGAGCTCTGGGCCTGGGTTTACAGTATCCCTTTCAAGGGCGTGCCCTCAGTCACATAACTTCTTTCCATTATTCCCCATCTTCTGAAGGTTCCCATCTTCCAGTAGTGCCGCAGGCTGGTGACCAAGCCTTTAACACGTGGGACTTGGAGTGGGGAATGGAACATGCCAGATCCAAATTATAGCATAAAGAATAATTATGTATAAAAGCAATAAAAATTATGAAGATTAAGATTAGTGTTAAAAATTGTTCTGTAAATGATAACAGAAGACACTAGTCTTGAGTATTTATGTGCCTGAAAAGTAATTTTAATATTGAAATTTTAATTTTTAATATTGAAATTTTTAATCTTAATATTGAAAGGATTCTTTAAGTTTGTTTGATTCTTCTTTAATATTTTGGTAGGTTTAATATTTTGTGAGTGTTTCTTTGTGATAGTTCCTTTCTGGTATTTCTTAGGAAATTATGTTTTTTTCTAAATCCTGAGGAATTGGGAACATGGGAAAAAAAATATATATTTTTTGGTGGTACTGGGGTTTGAACTCAGGACCTTGTGCTTGCTAAGACAGGTGCTGTGCCACTTGAGCCAGTCTACCAACCTTTTTTTGTGTTGGGTATTTTTAAGAGAGAGTTTCCTTGAACTATTTGCCTGAGACTGACTTTGAACTACGATCCTTCTGATCTCTGCCTCCTGAGTAGTTAGGATTACAGGTGTGAGCCACTGGCACCCAGCTGGGAAAAATATTATAATTATGAGATTTTAGAGGTTCTCAATCAACTATAGATGTTACTGGTTCAAAGGAATCCATTAATGTCAGTAGAAAGCAAGAGCAAGAAATGCTGACCTGCTGAGCTGTAGGTTAATGTCAGTGTTTCTGGATATAGGGCAGGGTTATGTAGAAGAGAAGTGGCACAATCTAATCAGCTTGGCTTTTGTGGCTGTGTTCTAAGTATGCTTTTATGGTCCTGTCTCTAATGGTGAGTCATTCTTGCAAATAAGTACTTGTTAGTTTACATACATAGTATAGTTTAATAAATTCTATGAATGATGTTCCATGAAATAAGATTTGGAATGAAAAAGACCGTAAATTTCAATTTGAGCATGTTACTCTGTATGGAACTGCTGACCTCACTAAAAGTTTAAAATGATTTAGTTATAGTTTTATATTATCCAATAATATTTACTGATATTTTCCAGTGTTTGAGTCTTCATGGTAGGCTACAGATTAACAGTAGAAATGCAAAGAGAAAAGATGTGACTATTATTGTGGAATGTTTCTCTATGAAATCAAAATATGATGTAAAATTTGAATTAGTATAAACATCCATTTCAATGGAAAACCAAAATTACAGTAAACAGACAATATTTTCAACATTCTAAAAAGATGAGTTTATGTGATACATGAGTTGATGCTTTTGGATCCATCATAATAGTTTAAGTAAAGTCAATGAAAAACAAAAGTTTTCTATATCTGGACTATTTGTCATGAACCAAGAATATTGGATAGGGCAATTAATACTTTGTGTTTTTTTAAAATTTATTTCAAGAATGACAATTTCAGTATTAAATATTTGTACAATTACCTTTCAAAATTTAAAAGACTTTTTTTTTTTTTTGGCAGTAATGGGGATTGAACTACTGGGTCTTGTCCTTGCTAGGCAGGCACTCTATCACTTGAGCCACTCTGTCAGCTCTTTTTTGTGTTGTTTATTTTTGAGATAGGGTCTTGCTTTATGTCTGGGCTGGCCAGGACCAGTATCCACTCCTATTTGTGCTTCCTACGTGTGTACCTTTGTGCCCAGCCATTGGTTGAGATGAAGGTCTCAGGAACTTTTTGCCTTAGCTGGCCTTGAATCTGTAGCCTCTAGTGTAACTAGGATTCCAGGAACTCCGACACCAAGCAAAAGGGTTTTTTGACATTTATTTTGTTGTTAGGAAGTGACTCTTGAGTAAAAATCATTTTTATATGTTATTAAAATATATACGATTGTCATACAAATTTTGGTTCATACTAAATAACCATGTATTTATCTTTTTAAATAAAAAGATCCATGAAACTTTTAGTATAACCATATAATAGAAAAATGACTCACTTTGTCATATCACTTACTATGTTTAAAATACATTATTATGAAAAGTATAGAATTTATGATTTAAGGAATTCCAAAGAATTCCAAATCATTGTTGGGTGTTTGGTAACACTGTTTGAGATCTATTCTGAGTAATTGAAGTGTCATTGAGAATACATATGTTTTATGTGTTGTTGTGGACTCTTTCTCCTGCATTATTTAAATTGCATAATGATTCTGTGATAAAAGTATTAATATATCTCAGTTTGAAACTGAGGCTAACAGATTTGCTCACAATCTTTCTAAGAAGAGAAATGTGCTTTGAACCCAGGTTTCTTTCTTTTTTTAGTGCTGGGAATTGAATATATGCCCTCAACCCATGAACCCAGATCTTTCCTGACTTCAAAATTTCAAGGCCATATCCTATCAAAGTGTTTCTCTATTTAAAATGTGTTATTCACTTAAATATTTTCTAGGTAATTGTATGAATTAAGCTATTATGAGAAACTTTTTAATAGAAATAAACACAAAGGAGTCTGGATTTTTACCTCTGAGTGCTTTTTTTTTTTTTTTTGATAGTACTGGGCTTTGAACTCAGGCACTGTACCACATGAACCATTCCACCAGTCCTCTTAGTGCTTTTTAAAATGCAGTAGGTAAACTGTGGAAACACACACAAATACTCACTAAATAATCTATCAAGAGTTGCAATCATTTGTTGAGGTAGCATTTTGATTTCAACTTCATACTTGTATCTATTTTTTAAAATCCTAGCAGTAGTCTTTATCTAGGGCTGTGCTATTGAACTAAATAGCCCCAAGTGACCATTTAAATTTACATTTTTGAAAATGAGATAAAGGTATAAATTCAATTCCATGTTCCACAAACAACATTTTAAGTGCCCACTTACCATATTCCGCTTAGTGGCTCCTTTTGTGCCATTATAAACCATTTCTGGAAGGGCAGGGAAAAAAAGGATTTCCATCATTGCATAGAGTTATGTTGCACAACACTGGTCTCAAAAAACATCAAGCATAAAACTTATAGAAATGAGGGATTCTTTTCTTTGATAATCTATGTAAATTAAAAGTTCATGATACCCTCTCTCTACCTCCATCCCTCATTTTTTCCAAACTCTAAAATGAAATTGCAAACATTTCTTTTAGGTCAGAAAATTCAATTTGCTTATCTTGAGAATTTGTCATAATTTTGAAATAACTAGGAAAATATTTTAGTTTTACTAATCCAAGGTTAATTATTCATTCATCGAAGCACTTCTTAAATGTCGAATTGAGTGTTAATGAGGAATCTATTAACTGCTATTGTGGCAGCATATTTTAAACTATTTTAACTCACTAAGTGTGCTCTCAGTTGCATTTTAAAATAAGTGTCCTTTGGATTGAATATGACATTTAATGAATATAAGTGGTTATCAGGGTTCACATAGAAGGAAAAGGTCTTGTTCCAGTTTTCCCAAAAGCATTTTTATCTTAAACATTCAGTATTTGTCATAACTATGACTGTCTTGTACTAAAGTTCAGCTTTTTCTGATGTTTTGCCATAACTTCTAAAATGATACTAGTGATTACTTTTGAAATTAAACCCATGTCTTAAGCTATAAAGTGACTTGAGTGCATTGTAAATAAAGTGCTATAATAACGAAGTGTTTTAATTACAGTCCCTAGTGTGAGCATAGAACTCAGTAAAATTTTTACTTAAGTTCTATGTTCAGTTTATTCCTTTAAAATTGTTTGAATGTAAGTAAAAAATGGGGGACGGGGAAGAGTGTAAGCTTCTAAAGTCATTTGAGCAAATTCCATGGCTGTACTCCCAGTTAGTGAGTTTTCACTGCATTTGCAGCAAGCTAATTGCTTCTGCTAATAAATAATCTAAAATCGATGCTGACAGCAGTTAATTGGCACAGAGATTTTATTTTGTAAAGCTCTTGGCTAACGACCTTCTTTAAATTAATAGCATTAAGTGCTATGAGGAAATAAATCTGAGGAATTGCCTGTCATTTGCTTGTCATGTCTAATAACTTCCAATAATGATGGCTGATAGATTTTTGCACATTCCATTATTGAAGTTGGTGCATGTAATTATTCTCCTCATTATATGTAAACAATTAGCAATATTTGGTATTTCCTTGCAGTAAAGCTATTAAATACAAGTAACATATTAGAGGTTAGAAGCCATTTTAAAATCTGGATTTTAATTATTTGATTGTAGGAAGTCTTTCTATCATTCTATATTATGTACTGAATCTAGGTAGAAGAAGGGAAGAGGGCTTTAACTCCTCTTTTTAAAAAATTGATACTTTAAAATGATCCAAGCATTTTATGTACATATGAATAATAAAACAATAAAAATTAAAAAAAATTGATACTTTAATACTTTTTGAATAGGATTTATAAAAATAAGTACTGTATTTTAAAATATGACAACTTATGAAAATTTTTGTTTATAGCTTGAAGAAGTCATGGAAAAAGAAACTTATAAAACAGCTAAATTAATTCTTGAAAGGTTTGATCCAGACTCGAAGAAAGCAAAGGTAAGCCTGATATCGCTACTGTTTTATTATAACCTATGTATTATAATAGGCCACTATAATTTAAACATTATTGTAATTGACAGGAGTTTGAGCCGCCATCTGCTGGAGCAGCTGTAACTGCAAGACCTGGACAAGGTAAATAACTTTGTAGAAACTGCTGCTGCTGTTGGAAAGTTCCGTGTTTACCCAAGTGAGTTCACAAGTGTGTTGGTGGTGTGAAAAAATTCTATAGGATGCTTTTATCATAATTTGTACTTGGTAATTTGAGATACGACTTAGGTAGATGGCTATAACTTTATTTTATTTTGATTTTATGGGAGTATGTTAAGATATTAAATATCTGTTGAGATTAAAATAAATAATTGCTTTTAATCTTTTGAAATCTAAGTAATTTTAAAAGATTTTTTCCTCCTTCAAATAATAATGTCTTGGAATAACTATTATGAAAATCCTCTTATTATGATTTATTTTTGGGGAATATAATGAGGATTCCTATTAAATTTGAAATGTGTACTAAAATAGCACTTTTACTTAGGAAAAGAATAAAATTTAAACAAGGAGAAAAAAGAAAATTGAATTAACTTCTATATAATAACATATTGAGGTTTCATTATCATATTATTCTCCATCATTATTATATATTATGTAAAATTTTAAATGTCATTTTAAGTGGTCACATAAAATATTCCCAAGACTGGCATGTCAAAATATATTTTTGAGTTTTTATTGGCTTTCATCTTTGTTGCAATGTGGAGTATATTACTTTTAAAAATTGAACTTCCATTTTTATAACTCATCAGAATTATAACCTAGTTTGTAAAGTTTCAATGACATTTAGATCTTTGGAATATAAGTCCTTTTATAAGTATCTACAAAGACCATGGATATTAAAGAAGCCATAGTTTCACATTTTCTAATTAGCATGCCGATGTGGGGAGAATTCCATCTTCCAGTCTTTCTTTCATAAGTAAGATTTTTAGTTTATAGAAATATTAGCCTGTTCTTTTTCTTTAAAGACTACTCTTTTGATAAAAGTTCACATATGATTAAATTTATGTGTATGTGATTTTAGAGAAATTCCTATTTCACAATCTGTAAATTTTTCTATAATTTATACTTCTTTCAAGCAATCATAAAAAAAGGTGTTTTTCTGGCCTACAGTATAGTTTTCTATAATTTACAAAGAATTTTTGTACATCTAGTAGTGATTTTCAAAAATATTTTTTAGTTGAATTTATAGAAGCAGAGAGTAGAATAGAGGCTTCCAGGGTGGGGAAGAGATGGCGAAATGGAGAGATACTTGGTCAAAGGGTAGTTTCAATGATGTAGGTGAGTATAACTTGTAAAGATCTAGTGTACAGCCTGGTGACTATGGTTAGTTGCCCCGGCCTGTGTGGGTATGCTGCATGAGCCAGACTAAGAGCGATGGGGAACTAGAAATAAAATATACACAAACATACATACATACAACATAAAACATAAAAGTTGGGGATGGAAGGGCTGCACGTTCCTGATGGGAAATGTGAGCGCCTACCTAAGCCAGAATGTATATTTTATTAGGTCAGTACAAGGAAAAGACTCAGGTAAAAATCAGGCTTTAATAATTCTTGATGCAAGGTAAAAGGAATGAGGTTTGGTGGGCTAATTTTCCTAAGGCTAATGAAGCTTAATAACGACACGTCAGTTCTGGAATTATCAAGGCATGCAGGACACCTTATCTGAGGTATTGATTAATTTGGCATCAGGGAGTTTCCTAACAGTTCTGGTACTTTATCTAGTTTTGCATCGGGGGCTGGTATGTGAACACAGCAGGTTGTATTCTTCAAGGAGATGTGAGAACAAAGGTCAAGACATCAGATACTGAGGAAATTATGGTAGAAGAGGCTGTGCAAACTTCTACATGGAGAGGCTGTGCAAACTCCATTATTCCCAGTCCAGGGTCTGTAGACCATTAGTATCCACCCGTAGATGGTTCCAAGGACAACGCTCTTGGAAAAACCATGAATGCTCAGGATGCAAGGAGTTCAGTACTGTACTGTGAATACTAGATCCATTTTTTTCACAATTGCATTCATCTTCTGCTAAAGACATGTTGCCTTTAAAAATTGAAATTTGTCTTTATCACTTAAATTAAGCACATCACGTGCCTTTTTTGGCTGGAAGGATTATTACAACTTTTTTTGTGTGTGTGGTATTGGAGTTTGAACTCAGGGCTTACATCTTGAGCCACTCCACTAACCCTTTTTTGTGAGTGATGGGTTTTTTCTAGATAGGGTTTCATGAACTATTGGCCCAGGCTGGCTTTGAACTGTGATCTTCCTGATCCCTGCCTCCTGAGTAGCTAGGATTACAGGTGTGAGCCTCTAGCACCCGGCTGATTATAACTTTAGTTTTGTTTTTTGGGGCAACATTTGGGAGGCATATTTTCACAAAATTAAGGTCAGGGAAACAACAGATCATACAACCATTTCAATATACCTGATGATAATATGAGGCTGACTGAGCTTTTCCATATCAACTGAGCTGTGTGGTGCACATGGGGGAATGTAAAACTTTGGTTTTTTGTTTCTTTATTTAGTATTACTTTTGGTGGTACCTGGGTTTGGACTCAGGGGTTTGTACTTGCTACATAGGTGTTCTGCTTATTTTGGAACTAGGGTCTTGCTTTTTGCCTAGGCAGGCCTGGACCAAGATCTAAAGCATAAAGTATTAATGCTTCTCCCCTGCTGAGATGACAGGCTTGAACCACCATACCTAGCCTTTTTCCATTGAGATGGGGTCTTGTAAACTTTTTTTCCTGTGCTGGCCTGGAACCATGATCTTGCTGATCTTAGCCTCTGACTTAGCTTGGGATGACAGGCATGCCACTGCACCCAGCTATTGGTTGAGATATGGGGGTTTCACAATATTTTGCCTGGGCTGGCTTGGTACCGATCTCACCCTACCAAGTAGCTAGGATTACAGATGTGAGCCACCAGCATCCAGCTTGTTTATTATTTTTTGACTGTGCTTGGTCAAAACTACATGTAATAAATCTGAATAAGGCAGATTTAGTGTACTATATTGTATATTTTAAATTTGCAGAGAACAGATCCTAAGTGATTTTTCCACATATAGGAGAAAAGGTAGTGAAATGATAGATAATTAGCTTGACTATCGAAATCATAATGTAAAAGAAATAATTGATTGAATAAAAATAACCTTAGTTAATAATGTTTTTACAATGTGATGTTTTGCAGAGAGCTATTGATTGCTATTACTTTTTTAAAAATTCTGTTTGTACTCAAAAAAGAACAAACTTGTGATCCCCCTTTCCTAATATTCTTACAGATTGAGATCATACATGTCATTGTGAGACTCTAAACTTATCTTTCCGTAGACATTTTGGAAATCCAAATTAAGTTTTTCCTTCTGATGTCTTATCGTCGTTACAGAAAAACTATTGGTGGTCTCTCTGTTTTGGATTCCTGTGGCACTGCTTTTGGATAATCTTTTAGGGAGAATTAATATTTATCTCTAATAAATTAATCATTCATTAAAAAGGTATCCTGCTTATGTGCAGACACCCTTGTGAATAAATAGATGAATGTAACATGGCTTTCGACTTTAAGAAGCTTATTAAGTAACTTTTTTTTTTTTTGTCTTTTAAAAAGTATTTCTTCTGGGTATATTCTAGGATCTCTAATTCTTCCAAGTATACAGTAATTAATTGCTATTTTGAATTTTTTTCTTTTCAAAAATTCTGAATTATATCAACTTTATTTTACTTTTTCAGAATTATATTTTAGTCTTGTTTCATTTAATCTTGTTTAATATCTTTTAGTTTTCCTTTGTTTTTATAGTTTTTAATTAGTCATTGACTTTGTTTCAGTTCTGGGTTTCTGTTAGTTTGAAGTTTAAGTCTCTGTTACTTTGCAGAACCATTGTTCTTCTGCACTTGTGCTCTCTCTCTCCTTTCCTCTTTCTGTATTTTAAATTTAGCCCGTTTTTGAACTTAACAGAAACTGGGAAAAAAGTACTAGAGGATATATGTGTGTTCATATGTGGCCCTTGAAAAGATTTCTCCAAAATGAATCTAATTGTGGTGTCCTTATTTTCCTAACTCTTGTAGAGTGCTGAACCAGAACTGTGATTCAGGGATAGGAGGCATCTTTATTTTGTATTACTAAGTTGTTAATGATATATACTGTTCTTAAACTGATTGTACATTTTGAGGATAGTATTCTTTGATTTGTTTAACTTTTACACTAAAAAGGAGTATCATGTTTATTGGACAATTAACTCATCTATTCTGAAACTCCCCACCTCAAAGTTTTATTATTTAAAATAGTTTTAGATTTACAGACAAATTGTGAAGACGATAAAGAACTCCCTTTTATTCTTGTCTGATGTTTCCTCAATTAATATCTCATCAAGATGATTACTGTGTAGTAGTGTGATACATTATTATTAAATGAAGTCTCTAGTTTATTCATATTTTCTTAGTTTTTACTTAATGTCCTTTTTCTGTTCCAGGGTTGCTCATTACATTTAGCTGTCATGTCTTAGACTTATTTTGTCTGTGATCATTTTTCAGATTTTCTTTGTTTTTGATGACCTTGACAGTTTTTCCCTATTTTTTTGTTTGTTTTTATAGAGAATTTTAATTAATAGGTTTTTATCCTTAGAAAATTAGGGCTGTCATTTTATATGAAGGAATAAATAAGCATAAAAGTTAAAGAGTTATTTCCTGCTTAGATACTTAATATTATCATGAACTGGAAGATGAAATGATTTTATGTCTCATATTAAAAAGTAATAAAGCTTGGATTTATAAGAAAAAAAAAAGATATTTGCCATAGTATAAAATCCTGTGTAGCTTTGATAGGATAAGGGAATATAGGTATTTGGGGATGATGAAATTAAATTTATTTCCAAGGTTTTAATTGAATATGAACTACGTTTAATTTTTATGTACTAATTTCTGATTTATTCTTTGTTTTTCAATAAATATTTACTAAGTGCTCTCTGACAGAGACCTTTGGAATACAGTAAAAAACAAAATAGACAATAGATTAGTACTAGAGGATAATAAGGAAAGATGGTGAATAGGGAGCACCTAGAGTAAAGGCTGATTGATGTTTTAAGTAAGGTTGTCAAGGAAGATCTCATTGGTGACAGTTGATCAATGACAGGAAAGAAATGAAGGTGTGAGTTATGTAGATGTTTGAGGGAAAAAATTACAGATAGCAATTAGTAAATGTGAAGACCTTGAGTAGAGAGCATATCCAGAGTGCTTTAGAAATAGCCAGGCCAATAGGACTGGATATGCTTTACCTGAAAATTGGCTTAAAATGATTTATAGCATTTGATAATTTTAAAATAATTAAAATAACCGAATCTTAATATGATTGCATTGGCTTTAGTACCATTTGTATGCTTAATGTTTTTTTAATGCGTTAACTGCCTACTAAGGTATTCCTTATGAGTAAAAAATAAGTGACCAGCTAATATGATTAATATGATTAGAATATGATTAATCCAGGTAATATCCGATGTTTTCTATATAAATTACATAGCATAGTATAGAAGTGGTTTCACTTATATAATGATACTGTGCTTATAATTTATTATTGCAGTGGCTTGGTTAGAGCTAAATTATTAATCAACAGAATATTTGTTGGTCCTGGTAATTGTAGCTGAAAATAATTTGGAAATACTTAGTAGGGACTGGTGATGCAGCTTATTGGTAGAGCATGCACAAGGTTTACCACTGGAAAAACAAAACAAAACAGAACAAAAACTACTTAATTATGTGAAAAACATTGTCACTTGAAATAATAAATATTTAGTAAATGTGAGATACCAATTAACAGACATTATCTTATTTTTCAAAATAATTTTATGACTTAAAAATATTGCTATCCTAACTTATAAAGAAAACAGGTTTATCAAAGTCACTTATCTGAGGTCATATGGTTAATGCCAGGATTCCTACCAAACCTTTCTATGTAACATAGTCCAGGCCTTTAACTAGTAGGCTAGATTGTGAGGGACTGAGATCTGACACTATAGCTGTACTTTTTATTTGCAATGAACTTTTACTGAAAATCTTTTTTCAATTAGAGTCCAAAACTAAATCATTTTGCTTTTGAAAGTATGCATTTTTACTATTCATGCCAGCTAAATATAGCTTCTTTAGTTTCAGCCTACAAATTCAGAATTTTTGAATTTGTGTGGCATGTAGAATTAAAAATTTATAAAGGGGTTCTTTATTTGAGCTCTTAATACTGACATTCAGTAAGATAGTAGTGGAATATAAATGTTAGAATTTCATTTTATGCTATCAAATAGGGTTATGAAATATTTCCTATAAAGGGCCAAGATAGTAAATGGCTTTGAGGGTCATATGGTTTCTTTTGCAACTTCGCAACAATTTGAAAGCAGCCCTAGACAGTATGTAAACGAGAGCAGGACTTTGTTCCAATTAAACTACAAAAACAGCCTCAACTTGGTACATTTGCCAACTCCTGTTACAGACAATCTTGTGATTTCTGCAACAGTGTTTATGTTTGATGAAACCCTGTTTATGTCGAGTGGAAGTTTTCCTTTATTGATTGTATTGGCATGAAGAAATTTGACAAAAAGATAGCCATTGTATAAAGGAGAAATAGGAATGGTACTTAAATTGTAAAGAATACTTTTTCAGCATTTCTATGACTACCTAATCATTTCATAATTTGAGGATATATATGTATTGATTTATTTCTTAAAATTATTGTTTTTAATCTTGAAAAAATAAATCCATTGTTTGGAGGTTTTACTAATTCAAATAAGTTTTCTTTATCATAGTTAGGAAGATTTGCTGCAAAAAGACATGACACATAGTTGTGTGGTGATTTTATTCTATTGAATTTATTTTAAAAGTGGTTATCAGTAGATAGAGTTAAATCAAGATTTATTATGTAAATATGTATACAGAAACAGTGTTCTCTCCTCAGTTTTACACTTTATAGATTTCTCATTACAAGTAGTTGTGACCCTATAGTGCCCCTTGGTGCCACAAAATTTAAGTAAATGTCATTTAGGGTATTGCCTAATATGGTATATTGGATATTAAATCTAGTATATACTTATTTTTCTTAGAGATTCGGCAGCGAACTGCAGCTCAAAGAAACCTTTCTCCAATGCCAGCAAACTCTAATCAGGGCCTTCTTCCACAAGTTCCAGTATCTCCTGGACCACCAAAGGATGCTTCAGCCCCTGGTGGACCACCAGAAAGAGCTGTTACTTCAGCCCTACCATCAAATGTGTTACCGAGACGTCTTGGATCCCCTGCTACTTCAGTGCCTGGAATGGGTAAACAGAGCACTTAATGTTATTTACAGTTTATATTGTTTTCTCTGGTTACCAATAAAACGGGCCATTTTCAGAACAGTATGGAAATGGCATTTCATTTGGAAATAGCAGAGCAGTTATCTGATTAAGCAGGAGTTCCATATTCAATTAGCTATAACTCTTTACAGCTGGCACCTTGTGATACTGAAGCCTATTTCTTGAGCTCATTTAACTGTTATGGTTTCTCTGTTTAAATGGCAATAAAACTTTGTAGTATTCTGTAGTCAACAGTATAGCATATCTTTTTATATTCAACTTTGAGAATGGCTCCAGATTTATATATAATAGGGGTAGAAGAGACTACGTTAAGAAAGTACTTACATTTGTTGCTAATACCTGTACATATACTTCTAAACACAACAACATATTTTAGGAATACTACTCCTGCATTATAGTACCCAGTATCACTTTTGTTAATATGGGCTAGAGGAGTTTTTTTTCTTTTTCTCTAAGTCATGGAACCTTAGTATTTTCTGAATATATACTTTATAAAGTTCTATTAATGTTGCCTTTGCTATTTTGTTTCTTGGATTCTCTTTTTTCAGTGTGGTGGATCTGTAGGAGTGTGTGGGTTTCTTTGGGAGTGTGATTAGGGTGTGGAAGTCCACTGCTTTAGCAGATTAGATTATTTTATGAAGATTTCTATCAACTTATAAACTAAGAAAGCTGAGTAAAAATACTTTTAAAAATTCTTTTTATTTTTTCAAAAATAAAATTCTTAAAATACTTTTCAAGTACTTTTAAATTTAACATAAATAACCTCACTGAGATCACATATTTTGTGAAATTGAGAAAAGTTATATTGATTGAAAATTGCTCATCTTTCAACTGTTACCTAGTTGATTTAAGATACCTATGATTTGTAATTTAAAGTTCTGGTTGTTTAAAGAACTTTTTTGGTTAGAGTGCATGAATTATATACATTTGTGTATCTAGTTTTAAAGAAAATAAAGGTTTAGTAACATATAGTAGTAAAAATTATATTGAACTTATAAGGAAAGGGCTACAGAAGAAGCAATGGCCAAAATATTATAATTCATTTTTTCATTATACCATATTTGTAGAAGACAATCAATTTAATGTGTATTACCACAGGGCTTCCATATGTTTGAAAATTAATAACCAGCAGGTACTTGATAATTTGCCAAGCCATGTAAAAATGACCAGTATTCCTATAATGATTGCTTTTGATATTTATATTAATTACTGTTGTCCATAACAGCATGAGTATGAAGACACATTATTTTAAAAGTTATTAGTGTGCAGAAAGTTTAATATACTTTTATGAGCTCTGTTGTTTTATGTATCCAGATTGCTTTATGGACATGTTCATTTTAAGTATGTAGAAGTAAAATAAACTAGCAAAAGTTAAGTTGGCTTAAATGTTTTCAAAATTTATTTTGGTGACTAGGGATGTAGTATGTGCCTCATGTGCAAGGTCCTTGGTTTGATCCACAACACTGCAAACAAACAACTAATTGGGCATGCTTTTTCAAAATGAAGATTTGATATTTAGGGATGATAATATCTATATTCAAGTTTATTTTTCAATGATAATTGAATGTTATTAGCATAAGTAACCAATAACTTATCTGATGATATTTTTAAAATATACTTGATTTGTAATTTTAAGAACTTGTTCTAGAATCTAAATTTTGCTAGTAAGTAGCTATAATTTTGACATTAGTTACCCCAATTAAATAGTGATTGTGTAGGTTTTGATTGATAAGTGTTAAAGCACTAAATATTAAAGCACTTTGCTTTTCTGGAATAGCTCTCACTTGTTCATGATAAATATGTACATGTGTATATACATGAAGCATATATATATATATATATATATACATGCAATTGGATTTGATCTGATAACAATTCAATTTTCTGGACAAGTTTGTGTAGAAGTGGTATTACCTTCCTTAAATGTTTGGTAGAACTTACTAGTTGAAAACATCTAGACCTAGTGTTTTGTTTGTGGGAAGGTTGGTTTTTTTTCAACTAAAAATTCAATGTCTTTGAAGAAAAAATATGGAATAATGTCACACATGAATATAAGATGGAATAATTCTTGACAAAAGTTTAACAAATCATATAGTTGTCTGTATTTTTTTGAGCTGTGTCTCATCTAACTTGTAGAATTTATTGTTATAAACTTGCTCATAGTTTTCTCTTGTTATTCTTTTAATATTTTTACAGTCTGGAGTTATGCTATTTCTCTCATTTTCGATGTTAGTATTTTTGAATTTTTCTTTTTTTCCTGATTAGTGTGGCCAGAAGTTTGTCATCTTTATTGATCTTCTCAAGGAACCCACTTTCTCTATTTTTGTTTATTCTATTTTATTAATTTCCTCTGATCTTTATATTTTATTCTGTCTACTTTGGGTTTCATTTGCTTTTCTGTTTCAGTTTGTTAAGGTAGAAACTGATGACATGGATTTTAGACCTATCTTCTTTTGTAAAATGAGTGCTTAGTGTTATAAATTTTCCTCTAAGTACTGCTTTAGCTACATATCATAAATTTTGTTATATTTTTCCTTTTTAATTCAATTAATACTTACTAATTTCCTTTTTAATTTTGCTTTGAATCCTGAGTTACTTAAAGTATTTGATTTAGTCTCCACATATTTGGTGATTTTTCAGATGTTTTCTGTTGCTGATTTCTAATTTAATTCTGTTGTGGTCAGAAAACATACTTTGTATTATTTGAATCTTCTTTTTTTTTTTTTTTTTTTTTTTGCAGTACTGGGGTTTGAACTCAGGGCCTCACGCTTACTAGGCAGGTGCTCTACCACTTGAGCCACTCCACCAGCCTATTTGAATCTTCTTAAATGTATCCAGACTTGTTTTATATCTCAGAATGTCATGTTTTGGTAAATGTTTTCTGTTTGCTTGAAAAGAACATATATTCTGTTCCTGTTGGGTACAGCAGATATAAAGGTCAATTATATAAACTTGGTAGAGTACAGTGTTGCTCAAGTCTTTTGTATTTTTCCTGATTTCCTGTATGCTATCAGTTATTCAGAGAGGAATATTGAAACTTTTAACTGTAATTTCGTATTTATTTCTTCTTCTGTTTCTGTTTGTGTTTCATGTGTTTTAAAGCTCTGTTATCTTCTTGATAAATTGAATTCCTTGTCACTATGAAGTTACCCTGTTTACTAATTGTGTTATTTTTGCTATAAATTAAGCCACTCCAGATTTCTTTTGATTAGTGTTAGCATTTTTGTATCTTTTTTCTATTATTTTACTTTTAACCTATTTATTTAGCATGTATCTTTTTTTAAAACATTTTTTTGTATGTAGCATATATTTAAGTCTTGCTTTCTTATCTAATCTGACAATCTTTACTTAATCATGAAGATATTCAGGTTGTATCAATTTAATGTAATGATTTATGTGTTTGGGTGTAAGTGTCCCATAGGACTTTCCCTCTTCTATTTGACCCATCTGTTCTCTGTGTCACTCCTTTTTTCATTTTCTGCCCTCTTATGGGTCGAATGTCTTTTATGATTACACTTAATTTTTTTTCTGCCTTTTGTTTGTAACAGTTTTTTGAGTTATTTTAGTGATTGTTTTGAGATTTAGTAAATTAGTATATATTTTCAGTTTATCACAATTCCCCTTGAAGTGATATGATACTATTTCACATACAGTTTTAAGAATCTAACAATATACTTACATTTCTCCTCTCCTGGCCTTTATGCTATATTACTGTCATAGATTTTACTTCTAACATATATTATTACCCTGAAATAAATGATTATTTCTCCTTATCTTTTAAAGTGATTCAAATAATAAAAAATATTCTGTACTTACCTACATGCTAACCATTTCAGATACTTTCATTCCTTTGTGTCGATCTAGCTTTTTGTCTATCATCACAAGAGTCCTTTTAACATTTTAAAGTGTAGTTTGGCTAGAGATGAATTCTTTCAATTTTGAATGTCTGGAAAAAGACTTCATTTTGCCACCATTAAAAAAAAGATGTTTTATACTGAATACCAAATTCTAGTTTGATAATTTTTTCTTTCAGAACTTTAAAGATGTCTCATTGTTTTCCAGTTTGTATTTTTTTGATGAAAAGTGTGCATTCTTTTCTTTCTCTGTATATAATGTATCTTTTTTCCACTGCTTTTAAGCAGTAAGTTCATTCTCTATTTTTGATATAAAATTATTTATGTTTCTTGTGCATATGATTTGTTGATATTCTTAGATCTATGGGTTTATAACTTCCAATAAATTTGGAAGAAAATTTGTGCATTATTTCTTCAAATATATTTTTCTTTTCTTTGTTCTCTTTCCTTATCTTCAGAAACTCCAACTATATATGTGTGTATATATACATATATAAAATGTTATATATGTGTATATCTACATATATATAAATATAAATAAAATGTTAGACTGCTTAGATTGTTACTTAACTTACTGATTTTTTTCCCTTTAAAATTTTTTTTTTGGTATTTTTCTGTGTTTTGTTTTGTATGGTTATCATTCAGTGTTTTCAAGCTTACCAATAATTTTTCTGTAGTGTCTGCTTAAACAGATGTTCATATCCATCTATGGATTTTTAATCATAGACATTGTAGTTTTCATCTGTAGAAGTTTAGTTTGGGCATTTTAAATTTTTTCCATGTCGTACTTTAAACATGCTGAATCTTTTCCTCTAGATTCTAAAACATATGGATGATAGACATAATAAGTGGTTCAATATCCTTGCCTACTAATTTAATCATTTGTCATTCCTAGGCTAATTTTAATTAGTTTTTCTCATTATGTATGGTATTTTCCTGCTTATTTGCATATCTACTGAATTTTATCTTATTGGATATTTTCATTCCTGTATAAAACTCTTTTAAATGCCCTGTGACTTGTGTGATTTGTGGAAGCAAGCAATATTTCTGGCCTTGTGTGAATACTGTTTCCTTTTATCTTTTTTGGGAGGTTCTTGTATTCTCAGGTAGTTTCTTCACATGTGTATACTGATAATAGTCTACTGAATATTCTGGGAGATGATCTACAGATCTTTAAGTGTTCTTTTTCTGTACCTGCTCTCATCTTTGGTATTCTTCATGTGAGTTTGAGTTGCCTTGTCCTCTCTAGAGTTCCAACACTATCTGCTCTACTGTGGGAGACAGCTGCACTTGCCCTGGGTATACCTTCTTACTCCACTGCTTGAAAACTCTATTTTTAGTCTTTAGGCGAAAATTAACCAACATTGCCTGATATCCAGTTCCTTTAAAAGTCTACTACCTAACATATTTTTTCAGTTTTCTAAATGGGAAGGTAAATCTGATCCTTATTATTCCATTAGAGCCCAAGGTGGAAATCCTCTAATTTATTATTACAAGCTTTTTAAGAGTCGGAGTGTTTTAAAAATTAGTTTGTACAGAATCTAACAGTTTTATCTTCTAATAAATTCTTTTGGTGGTTTTGATATAGTATAAATTTAAATAGTTTTTTTATGGTACAGTATTTTTAATGAAAATATAAATGCTCTACAGAGATTTATAAGAATTAATATTTTGCTGTTTTAAAAAATCTTTAAAAGTTCTAACACAGATAGTTCTTGCTAATTGAATTATATTTTATCTGTAGCTTATAAATCTTACATAGATTTTTTTTTTTTTTATTTAATAGGTCTTCATCCTCCAGGTCCACCCTTAGCAAGACCCATTCTCCCCCGAGAACGAGGTGCTCTGGATAGAATTGTTGAATATTTAGTTGGTGATGGTCCACAGAACAGGTAATGTTTGCTAGGGTGGTAAATGAAGGAAAATGAAAAAATTTACTGATATGTGTGTGTATGAACTAGATGTTCTATACTTTTGTGGCTCCTATTTCCTGATTAGAACAAAATGGAGTGTTGCATATCCCTGCAAAATAGTATAAACTCCGTTTTTTAGTACGGGTTTGGACAAAGTAGTCTAGATAAAATCCATTTAGAAAAAATAGGACTAGTTCTGCTTTAAGATTAATTTTAGAGAAATTGAATTATTTCATTGCAACTTTTAAGTTTGAAGAGCACAAAAATACTGAAAAACCTGGTAGTTGTAAGAAATGGATTTTTATAAGTGTCAGTACTGGACTTGATGATGGAATACTTTTAATAATGATGGAAACAACTTACATGTATTTAGCACTTAATTGTTTCAGAATGCTTCTCCAGTTACTATCTTACTTGGTCTTTACCATAATTATAAGAAGTTAGGTATGATATGAGCAGAGCAATTGTCATTGTATAGACTTTCAAAAAATTCATTGGATAATAGAGTAGATGTTTGACACCTTTGCTTGTTAGGATATTATTTTCATAAAGGTATCAGAGTTTAATGTTAATGTAATAAATTGTAAGTTATTCAAACCAAGTGCATATATGAACAGAGACCAGAAAACAAGGATGATATTTTTGTGCAACTGAAAAAGGCACAGGAAGCATGATACATAGCGATTAGCTGTTGGATCTCATTATACAAAATTAAATTCATTTCTTTACTGCAAGATTTTTCAGAGTTTTTTATTGCCATCGTTCCTAAACTTATCTGATCACATATTTGGGAGCTATCATTCCCAGGAATTTACAGTGGGATAAGTATTCTGTTATCAAAATGTGTTTCTGCTAACTTAGTAAGGATATATTCAGTTGTTTTTTAGTTCATTTTTAATTTGATGTATAAATTGTATTTTAAATGGTTGAAAGTTTGGGTTTGGTTAACTTTGATGTTTAAGAGTATTGTTTATTATTTACTAAATAACATCTAATCTATTATAGTATATTGGCTATAATAAAAATAAAAATTAGCCATGATGGCTAAATAGCCCCTCTAAGCTTTTGTCTGTATTTGTAATTGATATGTTAATTTTTTTTCCTTTTGGTATAGGTATGCCCTTATATGTCAGCAGTGTTTTTCTCATAATGGCATGGCTTTGAAGGAAGAATTTGAATACATTGGTAAGAATTATTGGACAGTTAGGTTTAAATATTTTACTCTTAAATATTTCATTCTATGCCACTTCTCATATAAATGCCATTTTATTTTTGATGCTGTCTCTGTATACATTGGCTAAGCACATTGCCTGTATTTAATACTCAGCAAAGCAGGGAAGACAACTCAGGTTCCTTCTTCATGTAATGTACAGCCCCTAGGCCAGTTGTTTTCAAATTCACTGTGCCTCATGATCTCCTGAAGGACTTTAAAAAAACTATGATACTTAGGACCCACATACAAAAAGTTAGATTTAATTGATCTTTGGTGGGGTCTAGGCATGAGCTTTTTCTTTTAAGCTCACAGATAATTCTCATGTGCAGCCACTATTAAATACTCATGAGAAAATAATGGTTCTTGGTTTTCTTGGACAAATGAGCAAAGTTAAAAAATCTAATGAGTCTGTTGATTAGAAATGCAAATTGATGGGAATGGGTGGAGGGAGAAAAAAAAGAAATGCATGTTCAGTAATATATTTAAATCATTGTTAATATGGTATTGTTATTAGTTAACCTGTTTTTAACTTGTTATCCCCTTTCTGCTTTAAAATTAATATTCTAATGCTAATAATAACGAGGCAGTGTACTTTAAATTTAGCCTTGATTAGAACACCTACCATAATATTAAAATAATATGAATTTCACAAAGTTTGATTTTTGAAAGGTTCTTTTACTATGTACAGAAGTAATCTTGTGAGCTATTAGTCTTTGAACTCTCTTTGGTTTGTGATTTTCCTTATTTTGAAAAAAATTCTCTGCAGCTTTTCGATGTGCCTACTGTTTTTTCTTGAATCCTGCAAGAAAAACCAGACCACAGGCTCCAAGATTACCAGAGTTTAGTTTTGAGAAGAGGCAGACAGTTGAAGATTCAACATTAGTTGGTCCCTCACCGTCAGGAAGTCTGCTTTCAGCGGAGAACCAGTTCAGTGAAGGTATGAATATATTAAATTGTTTTTTCTCTCAATAATGTGCTGTTGAACAATAATAAAGACATAATGCTTATAAATAACAAGGGAATAATTTTGTCAGATTTTGCAGCATGTACTTCAGCTATTGCTCTGATGGTCTCGTGTGATTGGTATGAGGTGTTTCAATTTTTAAAAATGCAGATTATTTTGTGAAAAGCAGCATTTAGCACCAACTAGATAAACATTGTTTCTGGAGTGAGTGCTTGTATAACCTGTTGGAAGATTTGACTAGTAATGTTTTCATGGAATCAATTTTTAATTTAAGTGAAGCAGATTATTAGAATTATGAAGCAGCTCTTTATAAAGACAAAATACTTAGAAGATTTATAATAAACATTGATAAAACAGATATGTATCTACCACTTGAATTGGTGTAAACTACCAGAAAACAGGAAACTTTGGAACTGGAAAGTCATCTTGGCATTTTATCGATGGCAATATTAATAGGAGTGTATTCCTTTTAGAAACAATTTATAGAGTGGGGTCCATGAATTTAACATTGCCTGTTATGTGAAATCAGCTTTATTTTACAGAAACAATTTATCAGAACTTGTGTTTTATAATTCATCTTCCATTTCTGTTTTAGGAATTTCTTTTTATTTTAGGAATTCTTGAGGAAAGTTTCATGAAAAGATGAGATAATAGATTTGATTATTAATTGCCAACTGTTTCTTGCTGTTATTACATGGTTAGGAGTTCTTTGTTAATCAGTCGTAGATTATGAAGATTGCTAAGATTATGACCCAGTCCATGGTTTTTTGGTGCTATGCCTGGTATAGGGGAAAAAAAATGGTATTTGAAGTTTAGCTCACATAATTTTATTTAGCATTCAGTATTCTTCCCTTTAATTTTTAGGAATTGTCATTTGTATGTATTTGATTTTTTCTTTGTAAAAACATTAAGTATTACAAAAATTTCTTTAAGAATATTCTAAAGCAGTGAATTTTTAAATATCATTTAGTATGAGATAGAGAATTTTTTAAGGATTTGAAGAATGAACCTAAACTACATGTGTTGAATTGGGCTTGGCTTTTGTCTTACTAACATATAAAAATGGATTTGAATACGTATAGCTATGACAGAGGCCTGTGTACTTCCAACACTGAATGAATGCATTCGTCTTCACCAAGTCTGCAGCATCAACTCTAAACACTGTCACATTTTTTTCTTTTGCTTAAAGTCATGCTCTGAGCTGCATGCTGTCACATGCAAACCATCTGCCTTGGCATTGCAGCCTTTTGGAACTGAGAATTAAAGAATTTCATACTGAAGATACCTAGAGGAAAAATTGAAGCCCTTTCTATGAGCAGCCTTGCTTATGAAAGCCAATGTGAATATTCGAAAGTCAATAGTTGGGATTAAAAAAGAGAAAAAGCATCCAGCAAAATAAAAATCTTGATAATGAGTCCTGTGCTTTATTTCTTCTGCTAAGGTCAAGATGTGATAGTTAGCAAACAACACCCAGCTATACCTTTCCTTCTCATCTAATCTAGGCGGCGCAATACCCCAGATGTCTCATTTTCTGTCTGAAATCTCCGATATGACGTCTAACTGGCTCAAACTCAGCCCCAGTAAGGTAATGTAAATAGGTGAAGACGAAACTTGAGGTAGGGTATGATGACTCCATAGTGCTAAAACCTGAAGCAACAATTCTTTTGGCTAAAGGTGTTTCTAGAATAGTTTTTTTTTCATACTTCTCTTTGGATCATCACAGTGGCCATGAACACCTTTTACTTCTTTGGCCGTCTAGAAGACTGAAACTTTTCTCCAAGACTTCTATTGCCACACTCTAATACAGTTATCAATTCCAAGCTGGACTCTTAGTAAATGTTGGGAAGTATTTCTGATGAACAGATGAAGCTGCATTTGTTTTGAACGCCAGTGGTGTACCCCTACGATAAAATTGAACTATTAAATAAGATCATGTCATCTCAATCATCTACTCTGTGCTAACAGGCAATGTAGCTGGGAACTTAGATTTCTGATTTCTAAGTTCTTCAATGGTGTAGAACATTGAAGATTGGACAAAAGCTTTTAATTTTTACATTTTTAAACATTGAAAACCTTCTTGACAGCATCAGGAACTGCACAGATTAGGTTTATTGAATTTACAGATGTATTCAAAAGGTAACTTTCATCTGAACTTTTCTTTCAACAATGTCATTAATAATGATATATAAATATCATTATATATTTAATCTAGAGGTCATAGAAGAAACTTTTTTTCCAGTCAATGACACAAGACTTTAAAATAAGTTATTGTCTGGATTCTGATATTAGAAGATTTTGCACTTAGGATGAGACAGAAGGCTTTTAAAATTTCCGGACCACTCTTCACAACAACATACAGAATTTTGGAAAGTTTTCATCAAAGAGATCTAAGAGAAATTTCTCACACTAATTGCTAATTTAAACCCCTAGAATTTTTTTCTCCCTAGAACCGTGTATCCAGATGCTGTAGGTAACAGAGAAAAATAAATAAGGGATATGGATGTTGTATCTAAGATCATACTAGATATGGTATACTGAAAAATGAACTGCTGTTAGACTTCTCACTTTCTTTTATGATTAAATGATACTGTGGTAATACTTGAATAAGAGACATTAAACTGCTTTATCAGTTTTGCCTTTAAAATAAAAATGTACTTTCAAGCTGGGCCTGTAATGGTGCATGCCTGTAATCCTAGAGCTTGGGAGGCTGAGTCAAGGAGGACTCTGTAGGCCAGTCTCAAAAAAATCCTTTCCAAAATACCTGACATATAGCACTCTTTTAATTAGACATAGTAATCCTTGCAGTATAGGTTTCTATATTATTACTATACTAGTACTGTGATTTTTTTTTTGTCTGCAGGTTTAAAATATAATATTGTGTTTTCATTGCTCAGTTGTGCTTTTTCTATTATTTTAATAGAAAATAGCTTTCATTCAACTGGAAAGAACTCATTAATAATAAAACTCATGGTGTCTAACCAGTACTGGCAAAAATATTTAAGTAAAATTTTTAAGATGAAATTTGTCTTGGTAATCTAATTTCTACCTACTTTATTACATACAAAATACTGCTATAATTAGGATTTGTTGAATGAGACAAAATTCTGTTTTTAGAATTTTTGTTATGCTTTAGGAAATTAATTTGATCATGAAAATTTTGAATTCTGTGTACTTATCAGATCCACAATGCTTGTTTATTTGTTTATGGAGAGGTAAACTTTCCCTGTAATACATTGTTACAAGCTTGTTTTAGGTATGGGTATTTTTTTGATCATTTGACTCTTTTTTCTAACACACTTTTACCTCTAATAGTTTAGATGTAGATCATTGCTAATTGATTTGTTCATCAATAGCAAATAATTAAATTGTATTCTGTGACTCTGTGTGTTGAAGTCTAGCTATTTCTTCCTAAGTGGTTACAATTTAACTTTATTCATTGAGTTATTAGGTTGAATTGGGGTGAAATTCATGTCTTTGTTCCTTAAGTATAAGTTGGCTCTTTTCCTTAAGGCAGGAAAATCTTGGAAAAACTGCCTTGTTTAAAAACCTGTGAGTTCAAAGAAATTATCAATTTTAATTTAACGATGTTCTTTGGGTAAGTTTATAGTGGACACATAATAGTGAACACTGATATGTTGGCAAGGCAAAAAAATGATGTTGTTTCATTAGATCATTTTTAAATTTTCTTACAAAATCATTCTTTCAAGAGCTAGGATAAAGTCCTAAAGGTAAGGTGAAGTGCTTGTATATTTTTGCATGTGTGTGGCTCATAGATGAGACAGTGGTATTCATTATACTGTTACAGTTTTATGAGTTTGAGTTGTCTGAGTTGAGGCCTTCTCAAACTGGTTGCCAGTTGTTTTGGTAGAAAAAACCTGTTTCTCATAATGTGTTAAGGTGGAGGTGAAGGAGTAGGAGTGGGAAAATAAATCCCACGTATCATTTTTGTTTTCTCACATTGTAGTATATTTTATTGGCATTATAGATGCTCAAATTGATTTAAAATTTTTTCTTACGTTTAGAACTAGGTCATTCAGGTAACTGTTTTGACTGTTAAACTGGGCCATTCAGGGGAGAATAGGCCTGTTTATTTAGTGTGAACACAAAAGCTGGTTTCTTTTTTAGTATTGTATGGCCAAGTATTAACATCTTCTGAAATATATTTTATACTACCAAAGTATTTTAAATTGCATCTTCACAGAAAAATTACTTTTATTAGAATAGGCAAATTATATTCTCCCATAGAAATAAGTACTTTTTGAGATAGTACATTGAATACCTTTATTATAAAACTCTGAGGTTTAGTTATAAAATTGTTATGTAATTCTCTGTTAGTCTTTTATACCTAGCTCATTTAGAACTTGTTTGATTTTGTACAAAATGAAATTGGCCTCTAAACATCAAATACTATCTCATTTAGACTAGCCGATGTCTGCATTATAGGCATGTCATATACCAGTTTTTTAAATAGTATTATTGCATTAAGATTGTTTTTCTGCAAATCAACTCAAGGGAAGAAAAGGTGCTTTGATTATTTTCAAGTTCTCACTATCATTTCACCAGTTTTCAGTCTTCTATATCTTCTCTGAAATACAATATTGACTGTGTTATGTTTTCTAATTATGGTAACATATTTCTTTGAATTCATATATTATAGACATTAAAAATTTTACTATTGTAGTTCTTTGTATTAACTGCAGAACACAGAATTTTAAAATTGGTTTTGACTATAAAATGTTTCTGAAGCTAGTAATATCATAAAACTTTTATATGATAAACCTTGAACTTTGGTACCTCTCTGTCAGTACAGTATTGAAGTAATCTGTCAGAGTATGGGTCAGAAAGAGAGAGGACCATGTTTACTTAAACATGGATATTTGTGAGTTGTGCCTTAGATTCTGAGGGGTGTATGTGTGTAGGGGTGTGTGTGTGTGTGTGTGTGTGTGTGTGTGTGTGTGTGTGTGTCTTTATTGCTTTGTCTCAGAAGGCTTACTAAGCAAATTATAAAGTTCTTGCCAAGAAAGTATTGCTTTATGGCCAGAGAATTGTGGAAAACCGTGACTCTTAAAATTCTATTGTGGATAAATTGTGAGGGTAGAATTACAAATGCTTGGCCGCTCCTAAAGTTTTCCACAGAACTTGCCTGCTTTTGTAGCAGGAATGATTTGTACATATCCATAGAGTTTAATTTGCCCTTTCTGCTTTTCCTTTCTGCCCTGAAACATTCAAATAACAAAACTCAGATGACTTACAGCCTTTCTACCTTGGATTTTTGTTAAGATTCCATGTGGTGCAGCAATGCACCATATTCTATATTGAGACACAAGTAGGATTTTTATGACATTTGTCACAAATACGACTTATGAACATGCCCCGCTACTTTTGTGATCATATGAAATTTTCATACAGTAACACCTCATTGAATAGGCGTCCCTAACTGTAGAATTTGTAATTAATTCTATAATTCAGAGACTTGGGTATCTGTTTAAGGAATTAACTTTTTGAATATTTACAAAGTCCTAGCAAAAATGTGTGAGAAATAGATAATTTGTGTTTATTAAAACCGGAATGGTAAAACTGTGAGTTTCTAAGACCTCCATGCTAATGTGTTCACATATAAAACACACATTTTTTTTTTTGCAAAACTATAAACCTTCTTTATAGGTTTTTCAATTAGTAACATTTGTAGTATGTCATAAGGAATCTTCTATGAGGGTAGAAAATCTGCTTTGCTCAGTTGATGTGTTTTAGCCATATTTTTCCTAGCAGGAATATTAATTACTGTTTATTACAAAAACAAAAAATACCTTAAAGCTAAATTTTTTATCTTTGATTTGGAGATTGGGTAACTCAAAACTTCTCTGCTTTTTATCATTTCCTCCTCCATTGTATTTAAAATTGAAAGTGGTAAAGGCAATTTATTTTAATAAAATTGTTACTAAGTTATTAAAGGATTTAGATTTAATAAAACTCAAAAAGATAGTAAAGGTAGTAAATTTTCAGATAGAGACTAAGACTCTTAACTATGGAGATAGCATGAAAAAGACCATTCCTTTTCTTAGCACACTAGGTATATAGCATATTCTTACCCAGAGGTCTAAAGAAGTGAGGACTTGTCTTGCAGAGAGGGGAGACTTTTTTGGAGAAGTTGGATCTTGATTTCCCCAGTCCTTGAATAATGGAAATGTACACAAGGGAAAGCACTGCCTAAACACATAGGTACACATGTACACATTGCTTCCAGGATGGCTTGGGTACAAGGGAGACAATTCCTTCAGGAAACATAACCTGGGAGTTAATATATATGTTTTGTTTGCTCGACCATAGTCTTATGGTACATAATTCTGTTGGGACTTTGAATTTTGGACATTAAATTTACAAATGTGTCTTTAGAAGCTTGCTTTCTATGAAAATATGAAAAAGAATAGTTATGGATTTATATCCTTCAAATAATTTTTTTTCTTTAGTCATTCTAAGCCATAAGTGATATGCTGTAGAGTTAAGGATATATTTTAAAAGATTTTTCAGGCTATTAACTGTTTCGTAGTCTGCCTGTGCATACCTGTGTGTGTAAGTGTGTGTGCTTATCTTTTATTTGCCTTATTTAGCAGTTTTATTTAACATTTGGGTATTTCTGAAGTCTTAAACCTTTATCTTTTCAGAATCTTTAGAAGAACAAGATGTTCTTGATAATAGTACAGAGCAGACACATGACAAAATACCAGATCCAGAGCAGACAAACCAAGTAATTGAAAAAGCATCTGGCTCAGAGGAATCAGAGGAGAAACAAGAAGAGACTGAGAATGAGGAAACTTCAAGAAGTGAAGCCAAGTCAACAGTTCCCAGAGCTGATTCTATTCCTAATCTTGAACTAAGTGGAGAATCTTTGATGACAAAGTAGTAAATGCTTCCACGTGCCTTCAACTGGATATTTGTAGTCTTCTTGATGTCAGTTATTGCTTTTTTGGTACTTAAAACTATTTTTTTGCCCTTCTAAGTATGTGTTTGATAACATTTCAATTCAGATTACTTAGCAATTTCCGTATGTCAAGGTTATATCTACTGGATATTAAAACCAAAAGCAAGATCCTTTTTAATGTACAAGGATCCACACAATTTAGATAGCTTATAGATATTTTATTCATCCTAAAAGTTCAAAAAAAGAGCATTTTTTTTCTATATGTATTACCTGTAAAGAATACCTATTTTGACATAGGAAGGACTTTGGTTAGGAATAAGTTCCCTAATAGTGTTTAAGGACTGAAATACAATTAAGATTTTGAATACTTTATCATTAAGAACAGATAGAATTTTAACTCTTGAGATATTTGCCAGTGGGGAGGTAATATCTATTTAGGTGTTTACATTGAGTAATATTGAAAGTTATAACTGTAACTACATAGGCATTGGTACGAATTCTCAATAAGAATGCAATTGAACAGTCAAGTGCAGTGTTGCTTTTGATGTCTTTTATTTTGTAGCTGGGCCAAAGGCACATGATGTATATAATTAGTTTATGTTTACATATTAACATACAGGAAATATACCTGCACTTGACTGTACTTGAATTCTTAGTATTATTTATACTTGTAAAATAATGGTATATAAGTGAGTTTTGTGCTGCTGTGTGTGTTTTGTTAAGGAAAATAAAGATGATCTGACAGCAATTTCTTTTTGTTAAATATCTAGATTTCTTCAAATTGTACCTTGGTGGATAACTTGGCTATTTGAAAAATCTTAGTAGAAAGAGCTCTCAGTATGATAAATCTATAAAATCAGCTTAGAGCAAATTATAATGCCTTTATTTAGATTTGTTGCCTTTTAAGTTCAGAGAAATGATGATATTTAGTGGTTCTAATCAGAAGTTAGGTTTTTCTGATTCAGAAACACCTTAGGCCATTTGTAGTTTTAACTTTGAAAAATGAATATGTTTTGTGAGAATAGGCAGTTAATTGCTTATAGTTCACTGGGTTAAATATGTATACTAAGGAGCAAGTGGGAAAATTTTGTGACCTAGAATGGTAATCCTTGAACCTGAAAATACAGTGTGATGATCTATTCTGGTGTCCTTATTATGCCAAAGTGGGGAACACATAAGAATAGTACATCTGCCTAATATTTTAATTGTACACAGATTATTAAAATTGATAAAAAATTTTGTATAATTTAAAATTTATTTTTCAACTTACTATCCCATATCTGATACATACTTTGAAAGAACTCAATCTGTTTAGGTCTTGAGGCATCTTGGTGTAGTGGCTCAGTTTTCAAGCTTGTGAAATTGGACTTAAATTCCAGCTCAGCAGTTTTGGGCAAGTATTTTCTCATCTGTAAAATGGGAAGAATAATACCTGTTTTTGAGATGTATTGGGGTGATTAAAAATAATTTATATAATGTGCCTAGCTCACTTGCCTGGTTAATTACTAGATATTAATCTAAATAGATATTAATCTAAATGGTAGCATTCATTATCGACATCCTTATGAAATAATAGAAGAGTCATAAATTCTTCCTCTGGCAAATAAGAAAATTAAAAAAGAATATGAACATGCAATTGAACTGTTCAGAATGAAATCAAAGTTTTCTGCTTCTACTTTTCATTGTCATATGTATGTATATAATTAGATTGGAAACTGGAATATAATCTTTAATTTTACTTTTTTTTTTTTTATTTTTTTGGTGGTACTGGAGTTTGAACTCAGGGCCTCATGCTTGCTAGGCAGGTGCCCTACCACTTGAGCCACTCCACCAGCCCTGGAATATAATCTTTAAAAAAGAGAATTTCACCAGTGTTTTTGACAAAACAGCTTACTAATATCTTGCACAGTCTTGTTATAAAACATTCAAATTCTAATGTATATTGCTACAAAATGAGTACCTTGGAGAATTAGAAATTAATGGTAGAAACAAATATTTTGAGAAATAACTGAAAAAAACATGAAATAAGGTTAAAAAAGGGGTTAGTAAAATTAATACAAAAGATAATGTGCTTATGATTGTGTAGTATCTTAAAATAGAAGAGTCCATTCTGATAACATTTTAACAAACAGTCAATGGTTGGAAGATAGTAAAATATTCCATTTCTAATTATTAAGACTAGTATAAATGAGGAAAACCAAACTATTAAGTACTCCTAGCCAGAGTGATCTTCTCTATTTATGACTGCTCATCTGGGTATTATTTAAACTCTTCACATTATGCTCTCAGTGTGATCTGCAAACAAGGGTTAGCTTTTCTCCTTCCCATACCCATGCTTATAGGGTAGTCACGCAGGCCTCCTTGTTTCCCTGCTCTGGCCATACTCAGCCCTTTTCTGCTTTAGGTCTTAGCTTAATTTTTTCCTCTTCAGGGAGATGCTCTCCCTATCTGAAGCTGGTCTCTGCCTTTTACTCTCCTATCATGTAATTCTGTCTTTACTCACCATCCCCATCACAATTTGTATTTTATTTGTTTTCTCACTAAATGTCTTCAAAACAAATTTTTCTTTCACCTTTATCTTGAGAACCTAGCACAATACTTGACACGTTTATGTGAAGGAATAACTGTTGCTCCATCCAGAGAAAACTCAGTTCTTAACTTGGTAGACTGACATTGCTGGGTGCTCTCTGAAATGTTTTTTTTCCCCTTTTGGCTCTCAACATATCATGCTACTGTTTTCTTCCCTGTCCTTTTACTATCAGTGTCCTTTGCAGACCTGTCATCCTCTGCCCATCCTGTAAATGTTCGTGTTCCCTGTGTCCTACTTATTGCAGTTATTCACTCTGCATATTCTTTCTCTAGGAGTTCTCATCAGTGCCATGAATTTAATTACCATCTGTCTATTTGAGTGTCAGATCTTTAGCCTCGGTCTGTTTCCTTTTCTTCATAGCTATATATTTACCCACCTACTGCCATGTCTCTGGATCAGTATATTTAAAAGTGAATACTATCTTCAAACTTTCTATGTCTCTTATCTCATCAGATAGCATCACTATTTAAGCCAGAAAATAGAGTCTGTACACTCATTCCTTTTCCTTATATCCAAACTGTCAATTCCAAACTGTCAGACTTTATTTTTCTAAACTGCCCTCCCCCCTGTTTTTTTCCCTGGAGACTGGGTCTTGTTCTGTAGCCCAGGCTGGCCTCAAACTAAGAGATCTTTCTGACTTAGCCTCCTGAGTGCTGGGATTACAGGTGTGTACTACTATGCTTGGCTTTCTCTTACATCATATATGTATTCTCATTTCTCCATCCCATTACATTGTATTAATAATGATAATAAACATTTACATTCTTATTCTGTCAGGTAATATGCTAACTGCTAACATGCTATTATATGTGTGTGTGTGTAATATATATGTAATTTTATTTATTCTTTGGCCACAGTCATGTGAAACTTTATTTCTGGATTATAGGAGAGAAAATTGAGGTGCAAAGAGAATAAGCAGCTTTCACAAAAAATAAGCAACTTTTCTCAAAGTTGTACACCTGGTAAGTGGAAAATCTGAGATTTGAAGTAAGCAAGTGACTTTGGATGCCTTACTAACTTTTGGTGCTGAGGGTTGGACCTAGGATCTCATGGATGCTAAGCACATGCTTACCATTGAACTATACTCCAACTCCCAGAGGACTTACGCTTGTCATCATACTGCCCTCTAATTCATGCCTCCATCACCTCAGGTTACCAATGCGGCCTTAATAACAGGTTTCTGTCTCCAGTCTTGCCCACTTGATGTCTATTTTGTGTGCTGCAGCTTCACACCACTTGCTTAGGCAATAATTCTTCATTGGGGGATAAGGTCAGAGGTAAGAATATGGCCTACAAAGCCCTGAATGGCTCCTTTGGCATTGTTTTGCACTACCACTAAGTAACCACCATCTCCTCTATACACATCTACATCCACACACCTGCCCCACACTTTGTGTATTTTCTGTGCTGCATATGGGAAGTTTTTCCTAATCTCCTAGCCTTCCTCTGCCTGAGCTATCCTGTTCACATAAATATGGGGGCACTCAACAAATCATTAAATTGGATTAGTTCCAGTTAGAACCCAAGTTTGGAAATTTTGGTACTTGATAAGCTATGACTTTTTTTCTATTTTATTTATCTATTTATTTATTTATTGTAATAGATTTAAGCTTATAGCCTTAAGCTTGCTAGGCAAGTACTCTACTATTTGAGCATACCCTCAGCCCTTCTTGCTTTTAGTTTATTTTTGCATGATGCCTGGCTCAGACTGTGATTCTCCTTATTTCTACTTCCTGCACAGCTGGGATTACAGGCATGTGCTACCACACCTAGCCCTTTTTATTCTCACCATGTTGTCCTTGTATGCATTTAACACATTCATTATTGCTATGGAGAACATAAATGAATGAAAGAAAAAGATTCTGATTGTATAATTTTTTTTTAGTGGTACTGAGATTTAAATTCAGGGCCTACATCTTGAGCCACTCTAACAAGCCCTTTTTTGTGATTTTTTTTTGAGACAGGGTCTCGCAAACTATTTTGCCTGGGCTGGCTTTGGACTGTGATCCTCCTGATCTCTGCCTCCTGAGTAGCTAGGATTGCAGATGTGAGCCACTGGCACGTGGTTGTATGATTTTCATTAAATATTGTGTGCTGAGATTAAAAAATGCTGAATGATTATCATCTTTAAGTCACAGGGAATAATGTACATCTGAGCCAAGCCACAGAACTCAGAAGTCAATCTGACAGGATGATTTGTATTGAACCACCAATTTTATTCTGCCTCTTAATATTGGTGTTAGAGTTTAAGATTACTTTAAGATTTAACATGTTTGCTTCTATTTTCTGCTGACAGTAACTACTTAACTGTCAAGTTTTTCTTACACTATTGCCTCTTGGAATTGTGTGCAGATCAATTGACATTTCAAAGAATGGGGAGGATAGATATTTTGAAATGATCATGCAGAATAGAACTGCTTTAGAAAACTGGGAGAAAATGTATATCTGACATAACTTTATTGTAAAAATTAGAGAAGAAATGTAGATATATTTAGCAAACTCCTAAAGAGCCATTAAAATAATTTAACACTAAGTAAAGGTGAACCAAGGTAGAGATAGGTTGTGAATTGATGATGCTAAGTCTTAAGTTTTATAATTTGACTTGTTTCAAGTTTATTAAATTTCTAAGTATGTCAGTATTACTGGTCAATAAGTAAATATATCCCAGCTCTGAATTTAGACAGATAAATAGTATAGATAAGTTTATGTGTTAGAAAACAAAAATTAAAATGAATATATACTGAATTGTATCAATCTATAAATTACTAATTTGTCTCAGCCTAATTTCTTTCCTCCTCATAACCTAATTTACATTTTCTATTTTAATATTACTTTTAAATACCTTTTTAAAATTGCTGAATTTATTGGATAGTTGTCCTCTTCAGTTACTCTTGATTAGTTTACCTTTGCATGAAACTTTGATTCCATTTAATTTTCCATTCTTTCTCCTCAGAGCTCCTACTATAAGTGACCTATACTACTGGTAGACTTTAAGAGAAGAAAATATGTAATTATATAGTTCTATATTTTATGCTTTTTTAAAATTAAATTTTCTCCTTTTTGTATTTTTTAGAGTATTTATACTTTCCCCATTTTCTTTGGCATCAAAATGGATAGAAGTTGGAAGTACTCTGGAAAGATTCAAAAGTATTCTCAAAAATCTTCTTCATAAGTTAGATTTTTAAATCCTCGGTCCAGGATTCTGTGAAAATAGGCCAAAAATCTAGGTGCCAAAGACTTTTACCAGCTCTCTGGCACTTGATTTAGGAAAACTGGGAGTAATAATTTATTTTCATGAAAATAAATATTTTATCTAAACCTGATTTAGAAAGGTGAAGAAAGTAGGATGTTCAGTGAACATTATTGGATACCTGCTCTTAGTCAGGCACTGTGCTCTAGATATTACCTCCTACATTCTCTTACAGTTCTCTAGCGACTATGTCACTGTGAGAGAGTCTGGTCAAGCAGAGATTAAATTCGGATGTTGTAAACAGAATCTGAACCTAGAATCTTTAAGTTCTTACTATTTTTATTATCCATGAGCACTCTCCATTGGTAGCTGAAAGAAATAGGCTGAGCTTTTTTTGGTTTCTCATATTCCGTGCTATCTTAAATGTTATTTCTTCAGGGAACTCTGGGACTCTTTGTAATCTCAGACTTGTCAGAATTCACTCACACACCCTCCTCTTGCAATTCTTTCAAGAAACTATAAGTTTCTTGAAAGCAGGACCATACCTGGTTTTTGCTCACTGTCATATTCCCTGTGTCTAGTATATAGAAGAAAGGTAATATTTGTCAAAGAGATGAACATGTAAAACACACAGAATGGGAAATATTGATATGCAGACTTTTGTGGCATAGGGAATTTTGCAAATCTCAAAGTGTTTGAATTACCAGGCAGGGGAAGGACCAAGTAACTTGTTCCTTACAATTTAGGTAAATTCCAACAAGATTCTCTTACTGGGGATCTATTGTCCACGTTGAAGTTGGAGCTTTCTAAAACACACACACAAAAATACTGATTTGTGCATAGCAGACTCCTTACACAGCTTGCAAAGATGCCCTTCAGAATTTTAATCACTTTTCCAGCCTATTTCCCACTGCTCTCCCTTATGCCATGGTCACAGATGAGTATTTCATACTTCTGAGAGATGACATGCACTGCTCTTTAATATGCTGCTCTTGTTAAACTGTTATTTCTTCAAGACCTGGCTCTACCTGTACTCTTCTGAGGTAACATCTTCGTTAGCTTTCCTAAGCATTTACTTGCTTTTGTGTTCATATGTAACTGGTAGTCTCCTGACCTCTTCTTATTTGTGTCTGCTTCCCTCATTTCTCTGTGAACATTGTAGATAGACCATGTTTTTCAATTATTTTCTCCTTCTCGATCTTAAACAAAATAATGCAAAACCAAACCAAACTAAAACCTGTCATGGGAACTTCTACATGAATAATTAGAGTAGATTCAAACTATAAATGAGTGATGGACTTGACTTGGTCAATAACAGGGTTGGTGTGCCACTACCTGAAACTCATATAAATAACAGAATTGGGACTAGAAAGAAGGACTAGCTTAAAATTCAAGAATATGAAACTGATTCATTTTTGAGTTCTTGCTGCCTGATATGGGAGATGCTAAATAACATGAATGAATTGAGCTAGAGGAGCTCTACCCTCACCTTAAGTCCACTATTTGGGTAGGGTTTCTGAATTGCTCATAAAATAAATTGGGTTTAACAAGACATTCCCTGCTTCCATATTTTGCTTCCCATGATATACAAATACTTTTATAAATAACTTTTTTTATATTGATTTTTACTCTGTCTCATTTCTGACCCTTTTGATATTAGGACCAGTATTAACTTAGGAACTTTCTGGCTTAAGTTGCTGCTTTTTTTTGACATCTGTACCTGATAGGGCTTGGATAGACATACACACATGCATGTAATAAAACTTGAGAATATTTCCTTTTTCAGGATATACACTATAAAAATTCAGATTGTGAAGCTGGGTACTTAAAAAAAGAAAGTATACTATGCATGGAAAGTATAATGATAGCATGCTAATGTATATTCTATAAGCTATGTTATTCATTGTTTGTTTTTCTAAAAGTGAAACTGACTACTTATGTCTTACTGTCAATAAGAATTCTAAAGGCTTTCCCTCTCTACTAGGAGATGCCACATTAAAAAAATTTATAGTGGTTTGCTTTGTAAAAAATCTTTTCCTGGCATTGGAAAGGGATCAAATATATTTGGAATGAATTTGTATTCTCAATTATGTGTTGACATAGCCAAAGAATACATGAATCTTCAGAATTGGGTGGTACGGATTTTATAAAATAAACTAAGTATAGACTGAAATAAAATTATTTATGCTTGAAACCTGTTTTGGTTGGATGTTATGTGTTCTTCTGGTTCCTTCTCAACACAAGTTTTTTTATTTGTTTGTTTTGTTTTTGAAGACCTGGATTCTTTTTGCATTTTTGTAATCTTTCTGATAAGACAATCTCTTGTAATTTGGCTTGGTGAATTTAAGTTTTACTTATTTTACAGTCCTACTGAAAAAATAAGGATTTTTTCCTTTTCCTCTCTCCCCATCCTCTAACCACAAAGGAGAGAGCAGTAGCTGTTTAGGTTTTAGCAGATTCTGATAAGACCAATTTGTCGCCCCAGCAAACAATTATAAGCAATAGTTTGAACTCAGCACGATTGTCCAGTACTCCTTTTAGATCAGGGTAGCACACAAGTACTTAATTGTGTGTCAGCACAGTAGTGTTGAGTATGTGGAGCTGAAAGGAGAGAGAGTGGAACTAGATAAGCTGCCTTCAGATAAAGGAGCTGAATTTCAAGCTACTGCAGTCCAAATGAATAGCAAGAGGTATGGTGGCCACACTTGTGTTTCTAACAGCGCCTTTCATAGACATGTAAACAATTCAGTTTGTGTAGTATAGGTTTTATTGTCTCCTAAGAGTGATTTATGTCCTTATTTCTGCATTATTGTCCACCAGGTACTGCCCTCTGTCAGAGGACCTGTGCTATTTAATTTTTCAGATCTTTGTCTTCATTAGTACAGCAATTTTCACATGTAATCATTGTACTAGACCTCATTGATAAGATAAGACAGTATGAGATTCATAGTGCTGACATCTAACCTTGCCACTGGCTTCTTGACCCTTCTGCTTCCGAAACACAGGTTCATTTAAAAAAAAAACAAAAAACAAAGCAAAACTCCCATTTATTTTTCATACACATTGTGGGCAGTTTAAAGGTTGGTCAGAATCAAATATTGTGCTTTCAAATTTGATAATGTATGAGTACCGAAGGATGACCTTTGATACATGATCATACATCAACATGACATGAGCAGTAAATGCAGCAATTACCTTTACTACATTGGAATAGTGCTTTAGTTTTCATCTTCAGTGCAATTACTGCAAAAACAAAATGAAAAAAAATGCATTTAGGTTCTAGTGAAATGTGTGAAGTTAAGTATCATTGGAAATAGTCCTGATTTGTACATTTATTTTCGACATGAGTTTGATTCTCCTAAGATCCAGTTCTCTAACAAAAAATGTTAATTATCCCTCTGATATTATGCAGTTTGCTATAAAGCTATTTTGTGTTTTACGAATAGGTTATCTTTCAAGAGG